TGGAGGCTAGCTAGCTCGCGCTAACAGCCGAAGAGAGAGAGCGGAACGAAAGAGAGAGAGAGTGCATCGTCCCCGGCGTGCCGCCACTTTTTCTGCCCTCGCCCGTGCCACCCTCTCTCCTAGGTTCTCCGTGCGTACGACGGGTCGTTGATCTTCGCTCGAGGAAGCGTGCACGCGGCCTTCACGGCCTCCGCGTCCTTGACAGTGGCGCGCGCGACCGCGATCGCTCGCCGAGGGCGGCCCGAGGAATTTTGTTTTCCGCCGGCTGGCTTTGTCGGCCTTTCCCCCGTGGCTTTTCACCGTGGCCAGGCCCGTCGAGACAAGGCCTCTGTGTGGAGAAAAGGCCGGCCTGAATGAACTTTTTTTCTTTCTTTCTTTTCGGGACCGGAATTCGACGAGGATCGTGCTCGGAGCTCGTTCCGGAAAACGATGCTCGCTGGAAGATGACTGTGCGGGGGATGTTTCAGGAGAGAGTGAGCGCTTCAACTCTTCGGCTGTTTGTCCCGTGTGAGACTAAGGCGAAGCGTCGAATATTCAATTGTTTAACTCGAAAGAGGCTCTTGGGAAGATAGTTGAAAAGGGACGAGATATTGTTGTCATAACTATGACGTTCGGTTGTGTATCCCCTGTTTTAAGTAATTATTAAAAATATACATCTGAGATGTAAATTTTTTTAATGTTATTCATAATTCAAAGGGTTAACCGTGTAAGACGAGTTAACTCGTCGTTGAATAGACAGTACTTGAGGGATTATTCGGTTTTAATTGTACCGTTGTGTCTGTATTGAACGTAAAATACGTCGTATTGATATTTACAAGAAGCAAGAAAAAGTAAATGGTTGCAATTCTTACTCATTTTTAGTTAGAACCTAGAGAGATTCAATTTCTGTTTCAAAGGGGAACATAGTTAAGCAGGTTAAGCAGGTTTTCCTTCGAAAACGTACGGAATATAGGCAATTTTTATTAATTGTTTTTTTTTTCTACATTGTGCAATTTTAAGGAAAAAGGGTTTCTAAGGTTCGAAAATATACAATGTCTAACAAGACAGCCAACATTTACAAGATGAATGTAGACCACAATTTTAATATTAAATATCTACCCTTAAAATCGACAACCATTAGTTTCAGTATTTAAAGCTCTGTCACATTGCAAGAGCTCGTGAAAAGGTACGTACCTCTCACTTCGATATTGTAAAATTGAAGCACAGTAAAAAGAGGAAATTTCGACCGCTGAAACTTGACGTTCGTTAAGTGTTAAGTGCTGGAAATAATTAATTTTCGAATATTTCATTTTTCAGTCGAAGCACAATACAGCTCTTGCAAAATTCTCAGATCGATACCCCCCGTATCTCGAATAGAATCCCTAAAAGCGTAGAAAGTGTGGAATTGGTTTAATAATAAGTTGTGAGTGATGGCGTGAATGTAGTGTGTATGTCGAATCGTCTCGAGATTTGGTAAACGAGCGGATCATACAGGGTAACTGCGGGTAAAAAACAGGAGAAGCGCGTTGTTATTGATATCAGTGAGTACGTGAGAATTTATTGCGAGATATATTTAGCGAGCGTTGATCAAATTATCATTATTTCTTTTTACGTGTGTTTATAGTTATTGTTGTAAAATATATTGCTATTGAACTTATTATCAAGTTTTATACAACCGCAGAAAGAGGGTTAAAGGCAACTTTTGTTTAGTTCATTTCGAACTTCTAGAGCTCTTATCAAAGCCTGGCAACCTATTACAGCACTCCACAGGTTATTTTAAACCGTGCCCGGAGCTATTTGCAGATCCTCGAAATATACGGAATGATTGATAAACCATTAAGACTCGTATTTAAGTGGATGCAGCCACTTGAGATAGGCGGAATGCTCGATAGATCATTCTGACTGGGTGTAGCTAAAAGTATTCCAGGGTTCACGAATTCCTCCACCTCTCCCTTTACATTATTCAGCCTTACACGGAAGATTTTTATGAAGCAGTTTCCAGGTCAGGCGTCATAAAATCATGCTCAATCGTATCTAAATGCGTTCCTCCGCTCTTCGTGTAGCTTTTTCTTTTGGCTGGAGTCCGACAGAGAAAATTGCCGAGTCGAACAGCTTCTGGACGCTCGATAAATCATTTTAACTTGTACCTGAACTCCTGTAGGTCCACAAGGTATCGAGCCACTTAAGATAAAGTAGATGTTCGATCATCGTGGATCGGTTATCGTCACACGAACCATCGATCACACTGGCCAACGTGGCAGATAAGTGTTATTAAGTTTAAACTTCGAGCAGCTATTTCTGTGTGGAAATTTTCGAGATTGTGTTACTCTGTTCGATCTCTTTGCGATCAATTGTACGGAGACTGTTGGTAAATGTATAGTTGGTGGAAGAGATAGAGCGTAGCCACGCCCATTTGTGAATTCATACCTAAAATTTCTGTTTGAAATCCGTCGTGTGTCACTCAGGGCTATGCAAATTTCAGTTTAGAGTGTCATCAGCGTTACTGACACTTCGAGGTTGTAATTTTCACAGCAATTAGTCTTTTTGTAATCAATTTGGCTTCGTTTAGTGTTATTTGCAAAATTAAATTTCGGTCACTTTTCGATATTAACACATTAGCTTCGGGTGATGCACATACGCGTTAAGATCGTCGTTCCGGTTTTTCACTTGAGTCCGGATGACACGTCATTGAGATTCTCACATGTCTGTCAGAGAATAAATTTATAAAACGCTATAAATGATTCAATTTCTCTCCAGAAATGAAGCTATCGCGCTTTTGGCACTTTTCGAGCAGATTTCTGCAATGATCGATGCACTCCAATGCTTAAGATATACGGTACTAAACCTCCGTCGATTTCTATTTAACGATAATTCTCCAATTGCCAAAAATTGACCTGCATCGGTCATCGATTAAGGCACAGAAATTTTTCAAATATACCGCAGTGGAAGAATCGATTCCAATTTAATATCGAACGATCCTAAGCTTCTTATCTCCCTCGAATTGCAGTTTTGGCACTCGAATTCCGTATATTCGACGCCTGACTGATTTTACGACCTCGCTCCGTCGCTTCCACCGACTATACCCAACAATTTCTCCGACTCTGACGATTAAACACGACACAAATCAGAATGGAATTTCTCAAAAATAGCTTCTCTACGCGCCCTTGTCGCAAACCCAATCACCTCGACAGAGAGCCTAAACGTTTAACGTGCACAAACGTTCAAGACGTATCACGATTCGAACGCACACGTGCAAAAGAGAAATTGGACAAAGTGTTTCTAGTGTCGGCACCTCTCAAACTGCACTGAACGTTTGTACGTTACGGCTGTGCTCTTTGCAGGCTGCGTCTTTGGTGTCGTCAACTGAACAGCCCTCGCCTTTAACCGCAATACGATGGAAAGGCTCGTTTGATACACGTTAATTCCGCGCGAATTTTCGGGAACGATTTAATTGCCTCGCAGCCGAACGGAATCGCAGGCTTATTTTAAGCACCGTTTCTCTCGTTCCGGTTTTACGATATAACTTACCGCGATTTGTCTCGATGCTTTCGTTAATGCCTGGCATTATGCATGCTGGATGTAAATAGTTGAGAAGGCTTTCGAAATAATCGTTTCGTGGAAATTCTGTTTCGCCATTGTTTTACGTCGCGGAATTCAGATTGACTCCTTTGCGATATTTTCTGAACAATTAATAATACCGATTGTTTCTAGATATTTGAAGATGTAAGTTGGAACGTATTTAGAAGTATCTTAATTCCACTGAATAACCTAGTTCACCTGAAATAAATCGTTGAAAATACACTTGTTATTAATAGTGGGAAGACGACGCTAGGTAAGATCGACTTTAACCCCCTTTTTTACAAAATTAAACTCGTATCAGTTGAAGGGAAGAAGGGTTTATAGACTGGAGATGCTTCTTTACTCTTTCTTCCTCGATATACACTCTGGTTTATAAGTACTAGGACACTTAGAAAGCCTCTTCGTCGTTAAGTTTAATACGAAATCATTTAAAAAACGATTCCTCCCAGAATCTTCAAGTACAACGATTACACGGTAAAAATAAAAATAAACACCGCCTATAAAACGATCACGCTAATGCCCACAAAAAAAGAAACCTAGAAATTAATAAAGAAGCAGCAATCACGAAGTTCAAACGCGGCAGACAATAATTTCCCCTCGACTCCCGCACTCCGCTCTAATTAAATCTACTTTAACGCGAATCGTTTCGTTGTCGCTACAATTAGAAGGCACTCGAGGGTGTGCGTGGGATGGGAGGATCTCCTTTCCGGGAAAGACTCGTATCGCAAAGCGTCGTAAATTTCGGAGCGAAGTTTGTCCTACCGGCGTTTCCACCCGAGAAACCAGCGCAAACAGAGAAATCTCTCCCCGTCTCTCCCCTGTCCCCTCTCTCACCCCTCGAAGAAACACGCCTGAAAAGTTTCCCTCTGCCTTAGAAACGTGCCACCGCAAACTCCGCGATGATTTCTACTGTAGATACTCGAACAGAACGCCTCTCTGTGCCCCTCTATACGTGTGTGCATGTTGTCGTTGCGATCGTTAAAAAAGTTGGAAAACCGAGGCTGCTCGAACCTCTCTTCTCCGACTATCTATTTGGTCACGAATGAGGAACGGGAAAAACTTGCCTCCCCGTCCACGATACTCTCGTACAATACACCTTTATCCACTCGTGGCGGCACAGAGCAGCACAGCTACCGCCAACCCGAGGTTCAAGCACCTTTTGGACGCGATTCAACTTTTTTTTTCTTCCAAGGGTTCCGCCGAACAAACCGATCAATCGTCCTCGAAACGACTCCATTCCTCTTCTCTGTTTCTGTGCAGGACGCCTTCGACGTTGAAACCAGGATGGCAGGAGGGACGAGCCGTGAATCCCGGCCAGGCACCGAACGACAGTGTTCATCAGCAGCGTCGTCGCTCGTGAATCGTCGTTGTAAACGAAGCTGGTCTTCGTTCGATTAGAACTAAACCTTAGGAAGGATAGGGAGAGAGAGAGAGGGGTGGAGATGAGCGATCTACAGGCCACTCTCGAGTTCTCCCTCGAGCTTTGCAAGTTTTACAATGTCGACCTGTTCCAGCGTGGGTAAGCGGATTCTAGAGCGACGCTTTTGCCACCACGCAGACGGACAGAGGAGGTCGCGTAATTTCCGACGGATTATAGCTGTTGGGACTTATCGACGATTTCCAATTTCGCAGGTATTACCAGATACGAACAGCCCTCAGAGTGTCGCCGAAACTGCCTGTCAAGGTGGAGGTTAACCAGCCGCGCAACCGTGAGTACATTCCTTTCAAAGCTTCTTCCAGAGCACCGAGGAGGGATCTAGGGGGTGGTTTTATCGTCGTTTCACTGGAATCTTCTGCAATATTCTCGGGGTAGTTAGAAGATCCTCTGTTGGGGAGTTTAGAGGGAGGTCTTTGTCGCGAAATCCCTTGAAATTACGATTTTTAACGCTGCCCTTGTGTCAGGTGTTTCATGGTTTTTGTGCACTCTGTGTTAAAAATGTTTGCACATTTTTCATTCGAAGGTACTTTCGAAATTTTCCAATTATCACACTGTAGTTTTACACACTACCAAATAATTATTATCTATCATCTACACGATCTACCATAACACGTTACAAACATTCTCTAATTACAGTGTCACGAGAGAATTTTTACACGTAATTTAAACGGCATCAAAGGGTGAAATTGTCACACAAAATGATAAAAAGAAGAAATACCGAAGAAACAGTATTTGGGTCATTTTAAAAGTTCGTTAAATGGTATGGAAGAATTACGATCGCGTCGAATCGTTACACAATAGCAAACAAAGCTGTGATCAACAACTTACAACCAGCCCATATTTCTCTTACAATTATTCTATAAAACATTCCCAGGTCTCTCCTCGCCCCCTTACAAATCACCGCATTTGTCTACCAATAAACTGCCTCGTCGAAATAATTCTCGGTCGTTACAAACACCGTGCATCGATATTCACACGAATTCGTTCACTTCGCGTCCACGCACCTTTACATGTTCCCTCCGAAAACCACCGATCTCTGTCGTGTCTCCCAATTCATCCACGGGAATAGGAACAGTGAATGGTAACCGAGTTTCCACAAATTACGTCCCTATTTCTCGTCGGCGACGCGTGTCCAGCGATTCAGGGGAAGTTTCCCGTAGCCTAACCGGGGCGAACAGAGGCGGGAAAGTTTGGCGGCAGCGTTACCGGGTAGAAAACTCGGCTGAATTCGCCGTGGCGAGTTAGACAACGGTGCGAGAGTTCCAACTAGTTCAAACGGTGCGGCACTCGATAGCGTTAGAAAGTTCCTCGAGCGTTTGTATCGCGTCGCAGCCTCTTCATTGTACGCCTCGAGCGTTTCTCTCTTGAGAGAGAGAGAGAGAGAGAGAGAGGGAGTAGATGAAGAAACAAAACCTGCGAGACGCTCGAGTCAGACGTCTCTTCAGCCCAAGCATCCATCTGAACTCGAGCTAGAGACACGCAACAGCGGGGTTGGATTTGCTATGAGGCGCGTTAGGCTGTGGTTATAGTGGACGAATTTTTGTGAGTGTACATGTCAGAACGTCACTGCCAGTTCAGACGATAAGGTTTTCTGACCGAATCGGTATTTTTGCTGAATAGGTGATAACCAAAAGCAAGGTTCACACGGTTCTGTATTTTCCCTTTAGAATTAGCCTTAGACGCAAGCTAGGACCTCACTTTCTATGGGGCTACAATTGAAAACCTTATTCCTTGCAAACAACGGTATACAAAATAGAACTTCGAAATTTTCGCTGAAAACGGAAACGTGAAATTTACAAATTTAATTAATTAACGTAGACCTGTTCTTTTGATGCCTCCTAACGATGTTACGCCTAGAGCCTCCCTCTCTATGGGGCCAAACTTTCAAACCGTACAAAGCACTAAAAAATAAAGTAGCAGTTTTTAAATACTAAATTCGCAGTACAAAGACAAGAAGCTAAAACGGAAGCTCCAAATTTACCAGTCTGATTAACCAGAGTACACCTGTTCTTTCGAGGTTCTCGTTTTCCGTCTAGAGCCTCCGCAAGCATAAACACGCCCCTATGATTCGAATTCACCAGCTTCCACCGTCGCAATCTTCCCCTCCCGAATCAGACGCAGGTCGCAAGACGCGACACTTTGCCCGTGAAGATCCGGAAGAGACACAACCTTTCGACCATTGTTACAGACTCGTTGGAGGCGCCCGGGACTAGCAAGCGCTTTCAAATCCTCTACAGAAACGAGGAGGTGACACTCGGCACCTCGGTCCTATTCCGAGCGCACGTGCTCGTGCACAGCCACAAGATCGAGGAGGTGCTCTCGCGCACCCACTTCAATCTCGGCGTCGAGTTATGGTTCAGCGAGCCGACGCAACCTGGGAACATGGCCTGCGTGTCGTCTAGGTGAGAGACACCTTTGGGCTTCCTCTTCTTCGTCCCATGAACGCGGAGTTCGCGGAACCGTGACGATCGGCCGAGCGTAAGCGCTGAGAAACGATATTGCGGTTTCCGCCTGCGAGATTACCACGACGCGACTCGTTATACGAGGCTCGTGGGAGAGTTTGCTCGACGCGATATCTCTCTCTTTAGTTGGTAAACGATAGCTGAGATACGTAAGTTCGATACGGCGAATGGCGGTGGAGTTTTGGGTCCTTTCGGGTCGTTAGCCCCTTAACCTATGATTTCTTTTCGGACTGTGCATCTAAGCGTCGGCCATTTAATGTTTCAGTACTGTATCGGGTGACTATAGGTGATCTGTTACGGACTGAATCCATTTAGTAATCCTCAGTCTTGCGAATTAAGAGGAATGTTTGGGTTATAATTAATTTCTTTTAGTAATATAACTATTTTTGTTAAATCTTGACCAGAATATCTGACACGAGTCTGACATGTTGTTATAAGTTAAGGGGTTAATGGAGAGAAGTCGGTTTTGGATGATTAGGGGTATTGGAAGTAGTATAGTTACTCTCAGTAATATTTCGACACTAATGTGTATGTTGGACAAAAATATGTATAATATTTGAAATAATATTAATATGAATATTCAGAATATTAATTTCTGCTAAATTGTTTTTAATAAATATGTTAATTTTTGAAAGAGTCGTGATTGTTTCAATTGAGACGATAAAATCTGAGAGAAATTTCCAAACCATCGCATAAATGAATTTCCGAATGAATAGGAAAACTGTTTAGGTACTTACAAAGGATTCAATTTCCAGAAGTTTGGAGGAAGAGAAAGAGGCGAACGAGAAGCAATTATTAACACTGTTTTTCTCAATCGGTGTCTTTTGTTCTACAAGATTTCCTTCTCTGTTCCCTTGTCAGAAGTTAAGATTCGCCCTACTTCTCAACTTTACCGCTTAACCCATGTAAACAGGATTAAACTTCATTATGATAATCGATGCGGTAGATTGTTCAAGTTTTCACCTGGTCTTCACTTCGAAAAATCGCACGAATCACGTTGAAGAATTTAAAACTATCTCGTTACCTTCAAGATTTACAAGAACCGTCAAATTTTCATCCACAGCTATTGCTCTGTCACTTTTACAAGGCTGATACCATCTGCGCCATTCGAGACGAAATACTTGGCATTCGAACAACACCGACTTCTCCAACTTCCGTAAATCTCTTTTGGCCATTATCGCGGTGCAAAAGTGTGCACGCCAAGAAGCAGAGAACTTTCCCACAGACCTAATAGATGCAGAGATCGATAACCTTGGCCGCGTGCGCGCTTTCACGTTCCACCTTCAAGGTTTGACGAGCTTCGTTTGCTTTTTACTTTGTAGGGCGTTGCAGTTGAACTTTGCGCCAACCAAAGGGCTTCACTATCATCTGCCTGTGCTCTTCGACTACTTTCATCTAGCCGCGGTATCTATCACCATCCACGCTTGTCTCGTGGCCCTTCATCAGCCTTACGTCAAGTCGGTACCTTCGGTTTATTACGTTCAAGAGGGTATTCCCGTTTGGAGACGCCTTTTTTACACGATCTTTAGGATAAACGATTATCGGACAATTATCAAGCGAGGGATTTGAAATTTTTCGTACACTTTTGGCCATGTTTTAGGAAGATACAGCGTGATTTTTGTGTGATTGTCTTAATTATTGTTTAAGTTGTTACATTTTTTCTTCCGCCGTGGGACATCTCCAATGGCTGCCACGATTCACGTTGCTGTATTCATTTTGAGAGAGAAAAATCGAAGATAATTTTGATACGTACGAGTGTTGTTATCGCATTTAGACAAAAATATCGTTTTCATCTTCTTCAGACGATAAAAGAAAAATTATGACATAATTTTAGTACGTAAAATTTGGGAGAGATTAGTCGATTCGTTGTCGAGAAAATCTCATCGTGGCAGTCATTTTTCAAAAATTTCTCTACTTCCTTGAAATTATCGTAACTTTGTCATTTCCACGATTTCATTTCAAAGAATCGATTCTTTCACCCCTCCAAACGGGAATCTCCCCTTAATCAGACAGTCCCATTTACGTGATTGCTAATGACAAAAATTACTTTTCCATGCTCCGACTTGACTGCGTTTCACTGTTGCAAGCAGGAAGAGCATACTTCATTACGTGCAGAGCTGGTAAGTTCTAAACGCATTGTATCGCGCAGCGAGAAACAGCGATAGAAAGTCCTCTAGCAAATTTTCTAACGGTAACAAGCATAATTTTGCACTTGACAAAATTACACTCCTAAATTCCAATGGTACTTAACGACTTCGTTCGCCGTGAAAAAATTACGACGGTCTGAAGTTCCGTTCGTGGAAATATTAATTACCCGATTAATTAACGTTCCGAAACCTAAGCGGGAAAAAGTATATTTTCTAACTCTACCGTTCCATATTTAATCGAATTTAATTTAATCAGTCCTGAAATATATCTCTACATTACACAAAACTCTCGGCTAGAATGTTGAACACGGTAACGAAGTTATGCTCGAAATCGTATTCAATTGGTTAATCGGTTTAATCGAAAAAGAAATTCTATTCCGCGCTGGCCGCCAGCCGTTTACACACGGGTGTTCGATTGTGTTTCAATTAACATTCGGAAAGGGGTAATTAACCGAGTAATATGCTTGCAGCGCACCGCGTGGAGGGAAGCCATGGCTGCAATTTAAACAGTCTGCAGCGAACGGTGACAACAATGCCCAGTTAGGAAATATCGTGAGTTGATGCGCGTGCCCGAATAAAACGTTCTTTTTCTTCTCTTTTCAATCGATCCGTAGTACAAACGCGGTGTGAGAAGAGAAACAGAAAGAGAAGAAAAGGAGGAGACAAAAGAATATCTCGAACGAGAGATTTCACACTTTCTCCGTACTTTTCGCACGTTTCAACGGGTCGTTGTTACAGGAAACGACGACGAGATGCGTCGGCTCGACCACGAGGATACAACACGCGAAACTGGTCCAACAGGAAGTAATCAGGTTACTTCTCGCCGCGAGGGAATCTTTGCTCAACGATTTAGCTGATTTAGCGCGGCTGCTACCCTCTTGCCAGCAAAGGGCGCTCGAGTTAGCTCAGAACACGCACAAAGAAATTACCAAGGTCAGCGTGTGTCATCCTTTCGCGGATTAATTTCTTTCGTCGTGCTTGTTTCTTCTCTGGAGTTAGTTGTTTCTTGTGTAACGGCAGATGATGGACACGGAGGAAACCGATATCGCTCAACTCTGCGCACAAAACATTGTTCTTTGGCAGCATTTCCTGGAAGCGTTCTCCGGGTGTGAGGCCGTTCATCAACATCTCGCGAGAATACATCATCAACTGAGGGTAAATCGCTCGTTTTTCTGGCTTTTGAACACATGCTCCAAGGAGTATCTCCAACTGATAATCTCTGATATTCGATGAAACTTTGGTATATGGCAGTGCTGGAAAAAATATTTGACACGTGTTTTTTTTTTATCGGCAATGGTCCACATTGAAGAACTGAAAATCACCCTTAAAAATGAGGGTAATATTTGGTCCAAATTATTTATTTCTCAAATTTGTCAATTTACACCATTCCTCTCTGATAGTTTTCTCGTTAGCCTCCAATAGTATTAGAAGTACTACCTCCAACTTTGAACGCGATTTTCTCCCCTTCGCTGTGAATAATTCTCGATATAAAAAAATACGTGTGTAATATTTTCTCGAGATCTACAACATGTCCAAATTCCATCAAAATCAGATAATCCTTTATAAAAAATATAGATGTGTTTTCTTTCGATGTAACTTAACGTTTTCGAGACTATCGGGAAGAAATGATTATCAAATTTTTCCGTACACCTTAGAATCAAGAATACCGTTTTAAGTGGTATTTAAACCATCGTTAATGCTTCATTCGCAGGTGAAACGTTTCGCGGAAGGTTTCTTCGTGCTGGAGAATCCCCGGACGTCGGCGTGGGGCTGCTACGACGCGAACTATCAATCGTATCAAGCAGTGAGCGAGGCCGCGCGAAGATCGCGCTATCTCGCTTCGTTGCCTCCTTTACCGGTGCACTGTCCGGAATTGGATGGGGATCTTCATTCCCTGCCTTTGATCTTCGAGGATCAGTATGTGGACATGAAACAGAGGCACAGAAACAGCGGCAAGTATCAGTGTGACGAAAAACGTGAGCACGGCATCTGCTTGTACGGGGAGTAGCCAATCTCCTCGGGTATTAATTCACGAAACGTGTGAACGGTAATTAAGTAATTACTCGTGTTGCTGTAGTAACCGAAGTGATTAAGTGTTGTTGGAAGATACTTGCTGAGCAACCTTTCTTTGCTTCTTCTTACCTATTTTTATTCATTTACATGCTCACGACAGCCCCGAATTGAGATTTTTCTTGGAATTAGGGGAGAACAGGGTGCCTGGTATATCTTTTCTGTGAACAAATCAGACGACAGAGAAATTCTGCGTACCATCGTCGGTTTCAAGTGTAGTTTGCCACTTAAGAAAATGTGATTTGTTGTTTGAAAAACATATTTCAGCGAGATAAAATCAGGTGTCCCTTTGAAACCATCTACACTGAAATTGTACCTTTCTTTACTGTACTAGAATTAAGTTCGTTGAATATAATGTGTTTCCAGTTTGACTCTTTGATCCTCAAAATCATCCCTTAAAAATAACTCCCCTTCCTGACGATATTCTTGTTTCTTCTCCAAGTATCACAGCTCTCGTCACCCATCCAACTTTCCCCCATGTTCCCCTACCTCAAATATTATCATGGAACATCTGAAAAATTCTGCAGATCACAAGTTGGCTACTCCTGCCCCATACCATTGTCTCAGACGTCACAGGCGAGACAGTAAAACATCCTCCCTTTCAGTTCCCGGTATAGACGACTGCAGTTGCGGTATAGCAGCGATCCTGGAGTCTCGATCCATGGGTATCTGGTCGCCGAGGAGCGAGGGCGCGGCTCAGGATATCGCGTCGGTCCAGGGTCGTTTGACGCTCACTCCCTCTACGCTTCCCGCCAGGCACAGTAAATCGTTGGATCAGTTGGGTCCCGATATCACCACGCCTGTACAGCCGAGAACCTCGCCGAAAACGCTTCCTCGGTCCGTATCCACGCAGCTGTTCCCGCGACAGAGAAGCGGAGCACGGAACGTCACTCCGCCGGCGACAGTTCCTTCGCGAGGAAGACAAAGATCGACAGCACCGTCCAGTAGCACGCTTTTCCCTCCTTCGGGGCAGCAAGCCTGTTCCGCGCCAAATCCTTCCCTTGGTTCGACACCGGTGGTTCCGTTGCCGAGAGCAAAATCGACGCAGATGCTGGTGTTGCCTCGACAGCAGGGCGATCCTCAGAACACCTCGATCACGTCGCTTCTCGTGGCTATGTTCCCCGAATTGCCGCCTGGAGGACAGCTGCCGGGTTACAGGCCGAGCAAATCCTGCGAGCAGACTCTCACCGTGCCAACTTGCATGGGAACGATGGACCTTGGACAAGTGACCGAATGCTGGAGCGAGAACAAGGGTAGCAACGTTGCTGAAGGTAGGGAGAGAGCGGGAGAGCTGTCCTGGGAGGTGGAGATGAGTTAGAAATGGACGGAATAGTGATAAGGTTGATTACGTTGTGATAAAGTATTTTCGGATATTTCAAAATTTATAAATTAATATTTCAAAGGGTTTTCCTCCATACATTGAGGGTACCACAGACCGCTTACACAGAATATTAAAAAAGAACAACATCGAAACAATATTTACTGCACACGCTAAAATTGGTCAAATCCTCACCTCCACTAAGAATCCACTTCCGCGATTTTTATCAGCAGGAGTCTACGAAATACCCCGTGTATGCGGAAAAACATACATCGGAGAAGCTGGGAGGAGCGAGAGTACACGTCTCAAAGAACACGAGAGATGCACCAGACTAGGGTACATACGATCAGCTGTAGCTTAAGATTTTATTCGATTAAAGAAAAGGTTTAGCCAGATGCGAAAGATACTTCCCACGCAAATATAGAGAATCCTTAGAAATGATGAAAAACCCTAATAACATCAATAGAGACACAGGTTATCAGCTTAACCCTATCTGTAGCGCCCTCCTCCCGTTAATGAATTCAGTATAATGGACTTTAATTGACTTTAATGGATTTTTAATTGATTCAAATGAACATGGGTACTTATAGGAGTGAACATCCTGACGCGCACCATTATCAGTTGCGTCTCCAGACCCTGATGAATTTCTGTTGGACACGGCGTACACACGGAAGCCTCAAATGATAACACCCATATCGATCCGGGTCGTGAAAGTCTCAAAAATCTCACTGTAGAATAAGATTATTTAAAATATTTTAAAATATGTCAACTATTTTTGGTTTGAAGGAAACTGTTGAAATGTCAACTGAATACACAGTACGACATGAAGAATAGGTTTTTTTAGTGTGCTACATTTTGTATATTTGGGGCCACGATATAGCGAGGTCGTAAATTAAACTCTCAAGAATCGGCACCGATTGATGTTGCGGCACTCAAGGCCGTGTGTTGCAGTCTGTTTGAGGGTTCCAACAATAAACGAATGGTAGCATATGATTTGGTACTTCAAGTAGAAAATGGTATTTCATTTACAAATGGAAAATATGTTAATATTAAGCTACACAATCTTTTTGCACTTTCTATCTGTATATAACACGAGTAGATAAACTAAGATGCTAAAGACATCAATAAGACCTTTACCTGTAACCGTACTTCCAAAAGCGGCTTCCCCCAGAGGGAGAAACCCTAATTTGTCCTAGCTGCATGCAGTTTTCAGTAAGAATATTAGAATCAGTTGACTTTCGCTGGATACAAGAATTCTTCGTACAGTCCTGACAATGGTTTCAAGTACTTATCTGTTCGTATCTCTGTCAATTTTCGGGTCCCAGCAGCTAAAACATGTTTACTTTGACGTCTGACCGATTTTACGACCTCGCTATATCGTGGCCCCGACTATACTTCCGATATTAAAAAAAATTCCCTCTCTGAGCACTCGTTTGTCATACGAGTCTTCTAACCCCTAAGAGAATTCTTACACACACACGCGTACATGTTTCTATTCTCCACTCAACATCTACACACCATGCATTCTCCCAATCCTTATTTTCAAATATCACACTCACTTCACTCGAGTACCCTCTCACCCTTGCGCTACTCAGACACTCATAAAATTCCACGACATCCCCCGCTAAGATTCCCTCAACTTGACACCCAACGACTTGTAAACATACATCTCGACACACTAATCATCAAACTCCTCCTCTCAGATTAGCAGTATCATTGGAACGATCGTAAAACCTCACAACCCTGCTCGTAAAACACCTTCAATTGGATACTTAAACCGCGACACTTAAAAACTCTATTACATTACAAGCCAGTAACCCTTAAATTTCTCTCTATCACCGAAGTATTGAAAAAAATGCTAAACACATTTCTCCTAATCACCAAATGTCGTCAATTAATGAGAAAACTCTCCTCCAGCAGATTACCACTCCCTCGACACAAGAAGAATCCGCCTGGAGCCACGCAGTCACAGATTAGCAGCACGTCAACCGCTGTCCACCACCGGCAACAACCAGAACAGCTTTCTGTCCAACAAAACCAGCGTAAACGGCGACACTTTCCTCTCCGAGCAACAGCTTCACACAGCCACCCTGGACAGGGTGACTTACCGAGGAAATTCTCGCAAGCAGACACACCACACAGGCGGCAAGTACAGTCAAACGAACGGTCTGGAGTCTCGAAGGTACCACACAATCGGTAAAACCAGCTCTGGACAGGGACAACGCAATCGAGAGGTTCAAGACTCGATGAACGGCGGTGGATTGCCAAGCAGTCACTCGATGATCGCCGATCCCTTGTACAAAAGGTCGAATTACTCGTCGACGACCACAGACTCGTTCTTCTATCGCACGAACGGCACCAGCGGACGAATTCACGGCGAGCCGGAGAAGCCGAGGAGACCGAAGAGCACCGAAAGATTGGTGGACGACGTCGATCGGAACGAGTACTGCGACTTCCGGAGAGAAAGACCGAGGAGGAGAGAGGAGAGACCGGCTGTCAAGTCTCCTCGCAACGGTGTGACGCAGTGTTACGGCGAGACGCAGGAGGAGAAACACAGGAGGCTGCAGAACGAGGATAAGATGCAAGAGTTGACGAACGAAATGTTCTACAAAGTGATGACTGCTATGTCCGAGCCGAAGAAGGAGCAACGAGCCGAGAGGAGAAAGGATAGACACGGAAGAAGACCGCATTCCGCGCCTGTTCTGGACGTGGATCATCCGACCGAGGAGAATAAGAAGTGTGGATACAGGAATAGGAAACCGGCGCCTCCGCCTCCAGCTTATCAGGATCCCGCGGTGGCGCCGTTGCCTAAGTATCGTCCTCCGCCTCCGGTGCCCACGACGAACGTCCTGGAAGTGGAGAATAATAATAAGATCATTCTGAAGGTATGGTTGTAGTGGCTTCGATTTTATCTCTGTAACAAGAGATATTAATAATATACCGTTTCTAGAAAGTATTGTACAGTAGAAGACCATAACGAACATTCATATGTGAGCCACTAACGAAGCCAAAATGATTTTGAAATTCTTCTAAATTTTTACAACACGGTGATTTAATAAATAAAATTGCCAAAGTAGTCTGTGGTAACGTTTTGGCCTTTTAACTCGGGAGCTAACTTGCCAAAAGAATGATGAAAAAACGAACGATGTCCTGCATTGTCCTGCGCGCTGGACAAGAACTTTGCGATGGCGAGTTAACTCGTCATCCCCAGTTAAATGGTTAAAGACAGATATCTGTAATGAAGACGTAAATCATATAAAAGTGTCAGTACGAACGTAACGAGTGTCTCAATGCTTACAAACAGCAGTGTATACATTAAGTCATCCCATAAGGTCGTGTCGAATTTTATTTTATTAAGAAGCTTTAAATTTTGCTATTTTCTCTTTTGTAAGGCCATTAGATCTTCCTTAGATGTTCGCTCTTTGTACCTAGGAAACGCACGATTTCACCCATTATTCCAGGTCGGCCCCATCAGGTCTCCGATAGAATCCGCAGCGACGAATGGCACGACGCCGTCCGACCCGTCTAACGCCGGTGCCCAAGCTCCGAGCGTGAAAAGACTGAGGTGCGCCAGCGTACCTGTAGCGCAGAACAAAGTGGTGGTGCCTCGTAGCGCGGTCTCCTTGCCTTGCATGCCGATCCGCGACAGCAAGGACAGCCTTAGCAATAATCTTCCCGTGATCTCGAATCCGCTCAGCCCGCCGTCCAGCCGACCGAGCAGCCCTACCACCAGCTCCAGCTCCAGCAATCTCACGTCTGAGTGTTCCGGATGGGTGAGCAGCGGGGACACGTCCAGCTCGGAGCAGCGTCGAAACGCGAAGCTGTCGAGCGAGCAACTGCGTCAGAAGCTGTCGAAGATCGTCCCGAGGAAAGGCAGGCCGGCCGCTCCGGCGACGAAAGAGAGCGTCGAGGAGCATTCGTACGAGGAAGTGAGACTTCCGCCGCCGAAGATGTTCCAGGACGAGCCTCCGCCTCCCGAGGAGTTTCGCGACCCACCGGCGATCATCGACAATCCTCTCTATCACGTCTACGAGACGGTGAAACCGGTGAGGAGTCCCAAGCAGACGAAGACCGCTCCGTGCAGTCCGCAGAAGAGTCGCGAGAGGGAGAGAGGAAGGGAGAGGGAGAGAGAGACCACGTACGGAGCTAGGGACATTTGCTTGGACTGCTATCAGGAGGGGAAGGAGTTGCTGCAATCGACCCAGGACGACGCGATCAATTTCAAGAAGTGCAAGGAGGACTTCAAGAGGCAGATGAGCTTCTCGGGGAAGATCTACAGGTGCGTGCTCGCTCGCACAGGCAGACTTAGTGCGCCTACTGGAAATTAATTAGTTTGGGATCGAGGGTTTTGGCTGGGTGACGGTGACGAGCTATTGTTCTTGCTAGTTTGTTCGGGGCTGACGAGATAACGAGGGACTTCTTCGAGATTTAAGTGTTGTTTGAAAGTTTGGAGTACGGATGGTACTTGTAGTATATTTTATCAGGGATTTGATAACGTACCGGTGTGAACTAATTCGGTGCCCTTTTCTACAAACTTCACTGTTTATTTTGTGATTATCTTGAATGACATTTTTCCATTGGCTATAGTGAAAATATAGTTTTGCGAAGAAAGGCACCGAATTAATTTCTACACTGATAATTCAATAGCCAAAATCCTATAGTCTTATAGTCACATAGCTCCCTCATTTTAACACTTATTCTTTTATCACGAAGATTGTTGTATTTTTATTTGAATTTAATTCCTCGCAGATAGAACTTCTGCCTATCCTCCTCCATCCTTTACTCACGGGCATCCGCTTTTTCAGTTCGCCGATAGCTTCTCTCTGTCTTTGCGTTTTTTGTAGTTAAGTTTCTCTTTGTCTACCTTATCCTCTCTAGAGAACGCAAGGAAGCGCAGTTGCGTTTCCATAAACGTGCCCATTCCTTTGGATACGGTGACCTCCTGACCCCGTCGTCGGTAAAACCTCTAAGATCGAATGTGCCTCTTAGTGACTATCCGACCCTGGCCTCGACCATGCCGTACTTCCACATCAGCAACGAGTACCGGCTGTTCTCGCCGGAAGGGGCTCATCTGATCATCTGTGTACACGGTCTCGATGGCAACCCTGCTGATCTTCGTCTGGTCAAGACGTACTTGGAACTCAGTCTTCCCGGGGCGCATCTGGATTTTTTAATGTCTGAGAGGAATCAGGTGAGAATGGATTCTCTCGTTTCAAACGATAGGAGGAGCGGCTGGATTGAAACGACCTATTAGCAATTTTTCAGAGAAAAAAAAACAGTGAATTTTCCACACCGATAGGTATCGCGGTTTGCAACTTGCAAATTTTTTAGTCACGTTTTAAGTTGTATGAAAATTCAGGTCATTTTGATGACCCGGCCAGCCTTCTAGAGTTAATTTCTTTAAACGTGAAGGTGCAAATATTTGTCTACTTTGAGGGGATGATTAATAAGTAATTTTCCATTGTTTCATCGTGACAATAGCTGAATGAAACTTTTTTTATTAGTATAATTATCGTCACATTGGATATTTTTACGTTTGCCACAAAAGGGTGACACATTCTCGGATTTCGATACGATGACCGATCGATTGGTAGCCGAGATTCTCCACCACATCGAGACGTCGGGGCTGAACCCGACGAAAGTGAGCTTTATCGGACATTCTTTAGGGACCATCATAATAAGAAGCGCTCTGACGCGGCCTCAATTACGACCGCTTCTTGCACGTTTACACACCTTTCTCAGCCTGAGCGGTCCACACTTAGGTACACTGTATAACACCAGTGGATTAGTTAATGCAGGTAAGCTCAGGAAATAATTTATCTCTTCCTTTGAATGCATCAAATAATCTCACATCTAATCATATCATCTAGTCACATCTAATTGTTTGGAGCATAGCAAAAAATATCTATTAAACATTTGTAAAAATTAGGACACTTTTAACGCGTTCGTTGCCATCAGAAAGTCGATAACAAGCTGGGAGATACATTCTGGACCGCATACGCTGCGTCGGTGGCAGCGACCGTGTTAACTGCTAAACTGCATAAAGTAATTCGTTCGATATGTCAGTTCTTTCTCGTTAGAATTCTAAAATTCCTCGTTTTGAAAACACAGACTTAAAAGCAGACAAGATCCACGAAAACTCATTGTGAAACTTCTGTCCAGGAATGTGGTTCATGCAGAAGCTGAAAAAATCCGGCTCCTTGCTGCAGCTGGCGATGAAAGACGCGCCGGACGTCAGACGGTCGTTCATGTTCCGCCTTAGCCAGAAGAGCAATCTCGAAAAGTTCAAACACGTCCTCCTGTGCGGAAGCGCGCAGGATCGATACGTGCCTCTTCATTCCGCTCGTATAGAGCTCTGCAAAGCCGCCGTGCGGGATTCGACCGATCAAGGTAATCGAACGCCATTTATTTTTCATTTATGTCCGGTAATACGACTTTATTGAACGGGCAATCTCGAACGAACTCCCGGGAATAAGAGTCTTCCATCAGGAAACCCTAAAGACCGGGCCGGTTTTCGCCTCTCCGGCGAAAGAATTCTACTCTCTATAAAAGAAGAAACGTATTGGCTTTACGCCGGGAAAGAGGCATTGCGATTTCAGCACAGCTCGTTTTTTACCTTCCATAGGGATGAAATTGCGATTTATGCGATACTTCGAGGCTGGGATTAAATCCAGTATGTTAAACGCTATTGGAACTGAGCAATTTATTTTATTTTATTTTTATTCACTCGTTACTTTATAACGATAAATTAACAAATTAACTAGTTTTAGTGTCATATAATTAGAATTCAGTAATATCGTTTCGTTTCGTTGATTTCTAGGATCAATCTATTCCCCCTGTATTAACGTACGTTTTTTCATTAGTGTATAAAGGGTTGCTCGACCACGGGGATATTTCCAAACGTTAATAACTAACCAACGAAGGCTCAAACGCAATTTTTCCATACTTCCTTTTCGTCTTAATTTCGCCCCTAGAATCTCCTCTCAAATTTTCAAGACTCTACACCCTAATTGATTCACTCGAAACGAACACTCCCACAAGCTCAATATCCATGTTGCAGGCGCAGCGTACCGCGAGATGGTGCACAACATTCTCTACCCGGTGATGTCGTCATCGGGGGTGAGTCTGGTCAGGTACGACGTGCACCACGCGTTGCCAGCAACAGCGAACGCGCTGATTGGCCGAGCCGCGCACATCGCCGTCCTCGATTCCGAGCTTTTCATCGAGAAGTTCCTGCTAGTGGCGGGTCTGAAGTACTTCAGATAAGGAACGGACTGTCTAGCGACTTAAGGGATGAACCGAGAGGAAGGAGAGGAAAAAAACAAACTAGTCTAAAAAATACTAGCGAATTATTTAGCAGCAGGGAGAAAGAAAAAGAGAGAAGATGGATATCGTCGAGAGCGGATTCTCGTAACTCTCCGTGACGTCTCCGATCGCATTAGGATTAAATTAGCGCGTTCTGCTCGAAAAATAATTGCCCCGCTTCTAACTCCATCTCACTCCACGCCCTTCGAACCTCCTCCTCCTCCTAGCGATCGTTAATTCCGTTTCATTTCTTCCAAAAAAAAAATACAAAAAACGACACACGGTCGACGCGGGAAGCGGGGCAAAATTACCACGTTTTTACACGATTACAAGCGGCCACATCGTTCGGGATACATACGTACATATTTTAAATTAAGAACGTCGTCGATCAAGTTTCTCTCGTTAGGTTCCTAAGTGTCATTCCAGCGGACGTCGCTGTCTCGCCGCGCGCGTCCATCACAAACATTTCGACCATTCATCCAGCCATCGAACGATTCTAACAAATGGACCTACAGACTGCGCGAAGAACGGGCCTACATACAGCTCCGCGGTGCAGCGACCGGGTGTATTCTCTGAAATAACGGAGAAGAGGTGGAAAACCGGGTCGATGAAGTGTTAGGGTGGTTTTCACGTCGTTCCTCCGCGCGTCGATTGTTAGCGTCGCGGTGCGTTACAGTGATGCTTTTAACGAAAACAGAGGGTGGCAGCGAGGAGAGGAGAGATACGCTCTCGCGTGAAACTTCGTCGAGGGTGGTACAGGCCGATAGCCGGGCCTTTTATTCGAGCAGAGCCACCGTTAGTCACGTTCGCGCTGTCAATTCGAGAGGTAAATGTATCGAAAGGAATTCTTCGGGGATGGAATACCAATTGACGATTAGACGTGTAAGATGCGCTGTGCGGAATTTTAGAGCGAATTGAATGGTAATCGATGTAGCGTAGAATTTTTTACTAGTGGAACATGGAATTGAAAGCTGCTCTTTTACGTCGTCGTGCTGTAAATTCTGTCTCGGACAATAAAATGTGAATGGTAGTAGTTTGTTAATTGAAGATTGAAGCTTTCTCAAAAGAATTTCTAAAGTTTTCCGTTTTTTTAGACTTTTCAAAGTGTGACAGAAGCGCGTGCAATTTAACAATTTTTATACGGCGATATGCCTAAAAATTTCTGATTTTCATCGAGGACAGAATTTATGGCACTGCTATGTACAACGATGAACGTTGTTACAATGACTGTGCTCTGTTGTTGTAGTATTATAAGTGTATTCCATCCATTTTTTCAAGATAGAATTCACTTCGTTTCAAACTTACCTTTATTTCTTGCAGCAAAAATAAAGTGACGTTACTTTCAGACCGAATAATTCTCAAACTTCAATCATTTCACGTGTGTCGCGATATCTCGAAATAACGAAATTTCCAAACGAAGCACAATGAAAACGCGACAAGAAATACCGATTATTTTGTTTCTCTTTCGAATGTGGTCGCGCCTAGAGTGACGAACGTCGTCAAACCACTCTGACCATCGATCTCGATCGATTCAAGTATCGAGTTCTCGGCCTATCGCGAAACCTGAGGCTATCGAGTCAATTCTCGGGAGAGAAAGCAAAAGAACCCGAAGAAAATAAGAATGAGAACGATCGTTCCAAAGAAACCAAAAAAAAAAAAAAAAGAAAGAAACGCTATAAACGAGGATCGATCGAGCGAATCCTCTGCTACATCGTCATCGATAATCATTGATTCCAACCAGAAAATCCGTTTTAACATCACTGCGAACCAAAAAAAAAAAAAGACAAACGAACTCGTCTAAATTGATCATCAACCAAAAAAAAAAAAAAAGCGTAAAACGTAAACTCGCCTTTTTCCCCCGTTTCTTTCCAAAGAAACTCGAGAGAACACAGCGACGTGTCGCTTGAACGGATTCACCGTGGCTCCCTTTAACGTAGCCTGGTGTCGAAGAAAAGAGAGAAAAAAAGAAGAAAAGATCCACGCCGAAAAGAGGTGCAAAAAACGACAGAAAAAAAAATAGAAGAAACAACGCACCAAGTGCGTCAAGGTAAAAGCGAAAAAAAAAAAAAGAAAAACCAGTAAATTAAAGACAATGCAGGGGCACCGTTGTCTAGACGCTAGGAAAGTTACGAAACGCATGTCAATTGTTACTCTCAGATAAGTGTGAGTGCGTGCGGTGTGCGGAGGATGGATGAGACGCGTAATGTATGAGAGAGAATAAAGAGAGAAAGCGAGCGAGAGTATTCTAATTTAATAACGAGGAACAAAAAGAAGTAAGCAAGATGGCAGCGGTTAACGTTACGAGGAACGAAGAAGAAAGGATGTGCGAGGAAACAGCGGCAAGCACCGGACAGACTTGAACGTCGAAGAAGAAGTAGAGAGAAAGGTTGCAGGATACGAATGTAGTTTTCCTTTTTCTCGCGTTCGAACGGTGCAAGTGAAAAGAGAAGAGAAGAAGAAACGGCGAAACGACGGACAGGAGCAAGACGAGAAGAACGAGGAGGAGGAAGAAGGGTGACTAAGAAGTGAAGAATTGAAGAGAACGGGGACAAGTGACTAAACATTTTCAGGTATATGAAATCCCTCCAATTACTAGATCTCAATTGCTCAGAACAATCTAAATAAAATGTTATACATTTAATCGTAAATCGAAGCAACGAAGAAGACGCGTGTGGCTGATGTCGCGTCTCCTAATTGCTAATTGTATGCCATCGAAAGAATGGAAGAGAGAGAGAGAGAGAGGTGCGTGTGTAATTATAGAAGTTTCCCAGAGGGACAGAGATGAGAGAGGGCATGAGTCGACGGGACTCGTGGTACGATTATGGCAATTCGATGTTCTATATCTGTTCGAAAGGTTAGCTCGAGGCGAAGATGATTAACGGGTTAATTGGCGTTTGAATTCGACTGTTACACCGAGTGGACCATGTGAAGCACAGCATCTAATTATCTTCTCTGGCTTCTTAATCTTTTCTTTGGTCTTAGTCATCCTTTGAAATTATTCTCTTACTTTTTCTGTAAGCTAGAGGAGGTAATTAGGCGATCATCTCCTTTACGTGGCTCAGACTGTGTTTAATTTTTGTGAGAATCGTTTGTTAAGATAACATTGATCGCGATATTTCACCGAGTCGACGTAAATAATTATTATACAGTGTATAGTTATCGTTTCTTCTGTCGCGCGAAAGATATTATTCCCACGCGAATGGACAAGACGAGCCTGATAACGATGATAAAAAAATATCATTCAGAATTTAGAAAAATGTATTATCAGTTTATCATGGACGAAACGGAAATTGCAATATCGTACGGCGATTCTCAGCGTGATATCATTAAGTGTAAAACCCACTACGCCCGATGTAAATGTTAATCCGCTGAAAATTGTACGTGTACGCCTTTACGTGGTAACAAGTGGAAGAAAAAAAGTTGCGCACATCCGCGAATCGTGCAAATGTTCTATTGTATCTTCGTATGTGACAAACGTGACGTAAAATGTCGCACGGATTCCAATTCGTATTTCTAGCACGAGTACGTAATTATCATCAGGACCACAATAGCCTCGTACTCGTCTTCGTTCGTCTGAATTTCACATTCGTAACAATTGTGAAGCACAAAAGAGTCTTTGGAATTTTTCCTGTTCAGCAGTAAGATTTAACATCCTTCCGATTCATTTCTGTACCTTACGCTCTGTCGCTATTGTGATCGTCGGATGGTCGTGTGGAGCAGAAGCGAAGCGATACTCGAAAAAAATAGGGCCTTTCGTCCTTTAAACTTCATTAATATTTCACATTTCTAGTTTAATTCAGCTTTGTTAATTTCTCTGTGTTTTCAATTTTTATTCCTTAGGGTACACTATCTTGGGGCGTCTAGGCGGTTTGTAACCATTTGCGCTTTTCAAAAATTGGAGAAGACAGCTGAAAGTTGCATTTGTATCCTGTGAAAGTTGCCTCCGAAAAAAATTCCCAAACTTTTACATGTTTTTAGATAGCACAGGTATTTTGCATCACGAATGTACCTTCTTTTGAGGGGGTTGTAATTTCTATTTTGTAACATTTTCGTCTTTAAAAAATTGGAGAAGACAGCTGAAAGTTGCATTTGTATCCTGTGAAAAAATTGAAATTTTTCGTTCGACAGTTGCCTCCGAAAAAAATTCCCAAACTTTTACATGTTTTCAGATAGCACAGGTATTTTTCATCACGAATGTACCTTCTTTTGAGGGGGTTGTAATTTCTATTTTGTAACATTTTCATCTTTCAAAAATTGGAGAAGACAGCTGAAAGTTGCATTTGTATCCTGTGAAAAAATTGAAATTTTTCGTTCGACAGTTGCCTCCGTAAAAAATTCCCAAACTTTTACATGTTTTTAGATAGCACAGGTATTTTTCATCACGAATGTACCTTCTTTTGAGGGGGTTGTAATTTCTATTTTGTAACATTTTCATCTTTCAAAAATTGGAGAAGACAGCTGAAAGTTGCATTTGTATCCTGTGAAAGTTGCCTCCAAAAAAAATTCCCAAACTTTTACATGTTTTCAGATAGCACAGGTATTTTGCATCACGAATGTACCTTCTTTTGAGGGGGTTGTAATTTCTATTTTTTAACATTTTCGCTTTTCAAAAAGTGGAGAAGACAGCTGAAAGTTGCATTTATATCCTCTAAAAAGATTGAAATTTTTCGTCTAATAGCTTTTCAAAAATTGGAGAAGACAGCTGAAAGTTGCATTTATATCCTCTAAAAAGATTGAAATTTTTCGTCTAATAGTTACCTCTGAAAAAATTCCCAAACTTTTACCTCTTTTTAAACGCCTCGAGGTAGTGTTCTCCCTCAAATACGACGATTTGTCGAGATAAGACTGAGGATCCTGTGAAACAGCTCTCTACATTAATTTCTAAATATTTTCTCAAAAAAACTGCAGAAATTTTTCTAAAAAAATTTATATTTTAGTTCTTCCTAAAAGAATTACTTTAATCTCTACAAATCTATTATTTAAAAAATCATCCTCAACTTGACATATCCAATGAACGATCGAAAGAAAAACACAGCGGTCAACAATTTTCCCTTCGCTTCTCCTCCGCTCGCGCGTTCCCGTTGATTTCCAAGCCGTCGTTCGTCGCACACTCGCACGTATACCCCTTTTTCTAATCTATTTGTAATATTTCGGACGAATATAATGTATATCATCGCATGAATATCGTCGTCGACGCGAATTCGACACTCGTCGTGACGCGGTGACGGTCGTCTTCGCAGTAACGTGGCGATGGGATCTCCCGCGTTTCACGCAGAAAAACGAAAAAGAAAAAAAAAAAAGAAGAAACGTGCCGTCTCGAGAGTGAAGAAAATACGCATTTTACCCCCCCTCCCTCGTTGTCGATCGATACAAAAGGAAAGGGGTGGAAAGGACTCGGCGAGGACGAGGCCAAACGAAATAGGAGGGTTCGAATGCAATTCCGAGACGAGCCAGCACAGACGAAGGAATTTTTTCATTGCTATCCTATTGTTTGCTCAATTGTACGTCGTTGCGTCTAATTGTACGATTAATAACGCGTTCTAGTCACGAAACGATTTTGTACTCTCACCCCAGCCCCCCTTAACGTTAAGTTTTTACCGATTGTGGCGCGATTTTTCGCCCAAGATTCGCGTGAACGTTGCAGACGCTTGGTGTGATCGGTTTGCGCGAATTTCTGTTACAAGTATGTAAATTGTTTGTTAGCGAACGTTTCCGCGTAAGCTTCGACGATGATTTTTAATTTAAGGTGATATTCGTTCGGCCCTGAAAATGGAAATTTCAGGATACGCGAGAAGAAGTGGATTTGAAGAGATTTTTGCGTTAATAACCCTCTGCGATCGTATTGCGAAGATGCAACGTTGATTGTGTACGATACGAAACAGCGGGTTCTTATCCCTTACGCTACTTTGAGAAACGTAGTATCTTGTGTGATAAGACACACGTTGTACGCACGATACTCGATTCGATCTTGTTGACTGTAGAAGGAACCGAACTTGTCTGAAGTGACTTTTTTCAAATTTGGCAGTTCTGGGGAATGCTAGAGAACGCGAGATTTCTGATAACACTATCGAGCGACACACGTGCTTGTTCAGGAGCATGATTCGCGTGAGCGTGAGCCATCGGTGGAATGTTAGGTCGTTTCATGAGTAACGCGAATTTTGGTTAATGTTTGTAGAAGGTGAATTGGGAAAGTGTGATCGAAGCTGTTTGTTAATCTTTCTTTGTTCGTCGTGCCTTTATATCTGGATCCGACCTTTTCTTGGGACACATAATTGTGTGATAGACAGAGTTCAGTGCCTCAAAATTTACAAGCTTAAAATACAAACTTAAAAAGTATTGAATTTTTCAGGTCATTCCATAAGATCATTTCAAAATTCAAAAATTTTTTAATGAAAATCCAAATAACGGTCTTACTTACAAACTTAAAATGGTTTGAAAAATTTGGAGGTTCCTTGGAAATATTGATCTAAATTACAAAATTCGACACGATCACCTAATACACGAAAAAATAAGTGAAAAATGCAAAAATCCTCTTTTTAGATAATTTAACATACTACGAAAATTCGAGTAAGCTGGCACTTGGACAAATTTGAAAACGAAATTATTTAAAAAGTCATTTAAATTTTCTTCAATCGACACTTCACTATCTCTCCACAAAAAATTCGCCTTACTTATGGCGTGAACCAAAAAAAAAAAAAACAAAGATCGAGACTCCAGTGTTCGCGAACTTTTCGAAACTTCAGAAGGCTCTTTTCAGCCGGCGAAGAACCGTTCGCCCTAACTTCTCACCGTGGTTGTCCAACTATCGGTTCTCGTCCTTTGTGACGTGATTTCGGCCGAACAGGAACGGGTTTTTTTTCATTCCAAGCGAAACGAAACGCGAGTTAAGCCGGATCGAGGGTAAGCGAGAAAAGTGAAGAGAGGAGAGTGAAACATACGCGACATGTAGACGAAGAGAGGGGTGATTTTTCCAGCCGATCGGTCGCGATTCTAGTTCTCCCGATATTTCACAATCGATGGAAACGTTAGAACTCGCCGCTGTATTTTGGTCGACGAGGAGAATCGTGAAAAAGAGAGTTTCGGTGACTAAAAACGATCAGTTGCACACGAGAACACGAAACGATTGTCGATCGAATCGAGTGCGTCGCTAAGAGAGACGAGGGAAACGAACAGAAAGAGAGAAATAAGACGGAGGGGGAGCTAAATCGAAGGAGAACGTTTTGTAGTTGCTGAAGCAACGTCGATGAACAAGTAACAACAATGTATACACTATACATAAATATATGGATGCATATGAAAAGTGAATAAATCTACGTATACATAAATGAGATAGATTAATAAAAAAAAAACACGTGTCTAGTATTGTTATTATTACCATTTGCGTTGATTTCGTCCTGTTTAAGTTCTGTGAGGGAATTGTTATAGTGAAGATTGGTGCGTCGTGAAATTTTAATTCAACTTCAAGTCATTTAATTCAATTTAGCCATTTCGCGACTAGCGCCGGTTATATCCGGCATACACTAAATGCTTCACACTGGCTAGCGCCGGTTATATCCGCCATCCACTAAATGCTTCACACTGGCTAGCGCCGGTTATATCCGCCATCCACTAAATGCTTCACACTGGCTAGCGCCGGTTATATCCGCCATCCACTAAATGCTTCACACTGGCTATCGCCGGTTATATCCGGCATCCGCTAACCGCGTCGCCTCAACAACTCAAAGTGAAGATTTATTTTAAAATACAGAACAAGGCCTCGACAACATTCCCTTTATCCGATACACCCTTAAGTCCTCTGCTGTTCCAACGAAATCCTCTAAGATTTTACACGGACACACTGGGAGCTCCAGAAACGAGAGACACTCTTAATGCGTACGGTGTGCAATAATGGCACGACGACCCGTTCGTTAGTGGCGTACCGATGGCTAGTTCCGCCGTCGCGAAAGGGTTAAGTACCTTCTTTGTTTTGTGTTAAATAACGAGTGAACTTTAGATCAGATGCATCTACAAATTAGTAGCATTAGCATTCTAGCATTAACGATTAGGAATTTCGTACTCCAAAGTGTTTTCACCAAAATTGCTTAATCTAATTAATAATCGAAGCATTAATCAGGATGAGTGACATAATTTGTCCATGTTTTCTAGAGAAAAGTGTTTCATAGATTTTTTATAAGAAAGTATTAAGCTTTGTTTGCCTAAATTTTAGTAATTAGCGAGGTATTTGCAAAAACGAATGTTTTCAAAAATTCTAATTGTCATGGAAGAGAAAAGACCCTGTTTTCACCAGAAAAATCAACTTTGAACGTTTCTAAAAAATTAGCCTGCATATTAGATCAGCTGGTGGAGAATTCAAGCGGTGCAAATTGAAAGAAAGAGAGGTATCACTTTGAAGACGAATTCGCGAGAAAGAGAGAAGGCAGATATTTCGTAATTGGTATACTTTTATTCGATTAAAATAACAGACCAAGGCACACATCAGGATCTCGATCAGAAAAGATCACCTTCCCGTTGAGATACACGTGCAGGGACGAGAAGAGAAAAACATTTGCATAAAAAAAATAACAAATTTCGACGCCGTGAATGATTAAAAAACAAGTGAAAAAAGGGGAAGAGCCGTGCAAGTGTATCTTCATGCCAAATTTCATTGTTCGGGCAAAATAAAAAAAACACATCTGAACGAGGGAAAAATCTTCAAAGGCGTAATAAAATACGCGAATTAGCTGCTAATACGCAAATCGATAAAATCGTGTGTCGCTTGCGGATATGGAAAACCTGAAAAAAATTCCGCGAAACGCAAGTACGCTTTCTAAAAAAATTGAGAAAAAAAAAAAATAGCTCAACAGAAAAATAATACCCACTTATAAAATACTGATTTTCGATTAAAATATGAAAGACCTAATCACAGTTAAAACACGTCGTTACGCGACGATTGTTCTCGCAAAAGGCGCTATAAAAAAGAAAAAAAAAATAGAGATCAACGTGCAAAATATTTCGTACCTACCACATGCGTACCTTTTTTCTTTTCTAAATGCCTGGTCTGGGCTGTCGATTTTCTACCTTTTTACAGTGCTATATTCCTCTTTTTTTTTTCGTTTTAAACTCATTCTTCTTTTCAACAACACGAATACTTTCGCGATACTTTGTACCACCATGCAATTTAATTATTGCCTTCTTGTCAGTGAAATGTGGAGTATTTTAATTACCGCCTTTGTTGTCAGTAAAATGTGGAATATTTAATTATTGCTTTTATGTCAGTGAAATATAGGAGATTTAATTATTTCAATTTTCTGAGTGAAATATGTAATACTTAATTATTTCCTTTTTCTGGGTAAAATACAGAATATTTAATTTTTTTTGGAAGTAAAATTTCGAACATTTCATTCCTGAATATTTCTCGCAGTGTGTAATCAAATTTAGAGTATATTCCGCACAATTGTACCTGCAATATTTAAAACAAGATGGTGGTGCAAGTATCCTCAGTATTCGCGTGTTCATCGTCAATAAAAAAAAAATATCTTTTTTTACATTTTCTAGTTTTACATCTTCTACCCGCCGAATATTAATTTCTTGAACGAATTATCCTAGATAATTGCCAACATCCTCGTTCCTACAACAAGCCACCCCTAATCATTCTCAGAAATGTTCACCAGTCGACATCCTCAACGGAAATGCTCGCGTTCGCTTCGACAGCTCCTTCTCCACTTTGGATGGCTTTCTCTTGATTCTCGGACGAAGCTTGACCTGTATCGGGTAAATTTTCTCTTCAACACCAACGTGACTAATTAACGAATTAATTACCAAAACTTTCGTAAGCAATATACTATTCTCTGCTCTGTTGCTAAGAAAGAATTGATTATCAACCTTGGCCAAGATCTCGAGCTTTGCTGTGATAAGAATAGTCGCGGGCATTTGCGAGGCCGGTGACAACGCAGGCACTTAGGGCACTTCGATTCAGATTCATCGGTGAGGCGTCGTACCATTCGTTGCTGTCTGCGTCGTAACATTCCGCGTACGCGATTGTCGTGGTACCTTTTGGACGAAACGTGTCATTTCATCTGACTTAGGAAGACAAATTAAGTGGTCGATGTGGTAATTAGTTTCTAGTTTGCCTTTTGAAGGGGACGAAATTCTTTGGAATATGCTTCTTCAATGGAATGGACGTTTATTTGAAATATCGTTCTATGGGGAATTCTAAATTCTTTTCTAAGTCGAAAACTAAAATTTTTCTAGAATGCAATACGTGCAATTGATAAATGAAAATTTTTCTAATATTTCTTCAATGGAATGTACATTCACTGTAAATATTGTTCTGTTTAGAATTTTAAATTCTTTCTCCCAGTAGGAAAATCAAATTTTTCTGAAAAATATTTGCAATAGAATACGATACGTATAATTGGTAAATAAAAATTTTGCTTGAAATTATATTTGTCGATTTGAACGATCGTATTAGAGAATATCGTAATGGGCATGAACAGGTATTTTGTTGCATTACCATTGAAACCTCCAACGACGAATATCATGTCGTCGAGAATGACCGTGGCGAAATTACTGCGGGGACTGTACATCTCTGGAACTTCGTGCCAATCCTCCGAATGATTCGGATTGTAACGCTCCCCTGCGAGATCAGAGAATCGATATTGTAGCGGGACATTAATTTCCATGCAGCGTCAGATTTCTGGTGCAATCAGCCGTTACTGTGCAGTGACAAATTTCTGCATAGAACACCTACCGCAACAAGCTAACACTTTCTTAGCGTATCTTATAAAAATACGGCCTTTAGTAGCATCGCATCAATCTGCGACGCTATTTCACTCTTTAATACACTGTCTCGCCATATTTCTTCCATCGACTATACCTCAACAGCCGCTGACGTGAATTCACATTGAAATTTCGAAAACTCCTTAACAAGATATCTAAAACAAGATATCACTTTCTATCTGGTAAAAATACGAGCTTGAGTAGCATTGCGCCGATCTGTGACGCTATGTAACTCTTTAATACACTGTCTCGCCATATTTCTTCCATCGACTATACCTCAACAGCCGCTGACGCGAATTCACGTCATTTCGTAAACTTTTTTTTTGGAAAATCTATTTTACGGAAAATGATGCATTTTGTGCTAAATTTCGAGACACAAAAACACACAGAATGCATGTAATAAGCAAAGATATGTAAACAAACTGAAAATATAGTGCTCGTTACAATATTTAGCGAATAAAACAATTGCCTATCTAGCTTCCATTCTTTTTAGCACGAATTTGCATAAAAATCTGCAATCTAGTTATCGTATTTAACAAACTTTTCATATTTCCTTTGCTCAAATAAACAAACGTCATAATTTTCACCCTCGTCTCAATGTTACACTGCAGTTCGCAGTAACCAGCTTCCGAATCTCCTTATTTCAGCCAATTTCTCGTGTCAAAAATCGAACAAACTCCCTTCCGCGATTATCTTAAGCGTGATTATCAAATTACCGGAACTAAGTCTGATGAAGCCATTGAAGCCGCCCAGGGCGTAGAGGCTGTCGCGAAACGCGACCAAACAGACACCAGATCGCGGATTGATCATCGGATGAATGTAGCTCCACTGATTGCTCTCCACGTCGAACACTTCCGCGGAGTTGAGAACTTCGCGGCCGTTGAAGCCACCGACGATGTAAATCTTGTCCTGCAAGGCGGCCGAGCTAGCATCCGATCTCTGTCGATGCATCGGCGGTATCATCTCCCACTGGTTCTTTTGCGGTTCGTATCTTTCCCCCGAGCTCATTCTCGTGCGGCCGTTGTACCCGCCGAGAGCGTAAATCCTTCCTCCTGATGGCGAATGAGTCACGATTTAACGAAAAGGGGCGATTTTCGCGTGAAAACGTCCGTCTTCTGTTGTACGACGGTAGTGAAAGTGATTAGATAGAGAAATGGACGGAGAATGTTTCTCTGTAATTTATAAAGGTGATAAATTTGTACGAATGAACGATCCATGGTCATTTCTGAGTTATGGTGCTTTTTGGTAGATGACAGGGGTGATTTGATGGCAAACAGAGGGAATAAAGTTTAACGAAGGATTTTGTCTGTGTTTTATTCTATATTTTGTGTTTCTATTTTAGGCGAAGATGGTTTGCACGAAACTCTGTATTCGTTTAGTAATTATTTCACTGTGTAATTGTACAGGGCGTAAGAAATATTGTGTCGTAGCTTTCACAGCTGATTGTAAATCTTTGGATTTAGGGTTTCCTAAAATTGTCACTAATCTTGAATTTCAAAGTGAAATTCACTATGTACAATGAATTACAGACGTGCTATATTTAATTCTTCAATTGTTTAAATTAAACTGAGACGATTTCAGACGGGAACTGAACTAATCGAGTGTGTAGCATTCTTATCCGAAAATGGGGTCGAGGGGGGAATTCTTCTGACTCGCTATACTTGTTTCCTATCACAAACTTCCGCATTGCAATCTTTTCACGTGTAAAAACACTTCCTAAATACGAACATTACTTCAAAATTTACACAGATTCGTTATATCCCAAGTGCAAGCTAATGTATTCATAATATAGCACTCTCAGCCCTTTACCTACAAGCGTCTTACTTAAATACAACGTATAATTTGATCACTTTTTAACGTATTTTAGTCACCGTATCTCTCCGAGTTAACTATTCATAGCTGAAATATACTACAATAAACGAAGAAGATCGAGATATCGTACGTAATTCGCGTTGGACATTCCTCCGCCTTATACCCAAGTTAAATACCAAACTCAGGGTTGTAATTTTATTTTATCTGGAACGTAACTTGCGACTGTCACGTCTAAAACTTAATTCCTGCCACGAGTGTAACTTCTGATCTTACGGGATAAGAGGGCTCGAAGTTTTTATGTAAATTAGGCGATATCAAAATTTCAACTTCCCAGATTGTGTTGTGAAAGTTCGTCGACTTGAGATCGAACGTTTTCTCTGAATGTGTACTTTGTTGACCACAAATTTTTGTTCGTTGACATTACTGGTTCAACAGTGAATTATTTTTCACTCAAGGAATCGTTGCATTCATCGCAACGCAAAGTGGTCTCGAATTTTTCGCCACGAGTGTATAGTCGGTGGAAGAAATGTAGCGAAGTGGTGAATTAAGCAGTAAAAATAGGTGAAAGTTTGGGAATTTTTTTCACAGGTAATTGCTAAACGAAAAGCCTCAATTTTTTCAGAGGATGTAAACCTAACTTTCAACTTCGTCCTCTAATTTTTCAAAAATAGAAATGTCACTATGAAAAGAATTCCCAAACTATTAACTCCTTAATTTTAGATGCCTCAGAGTCATCGTCCTCCTTAAATACCCGCACAAATTTTTACGTTCCCCGATTGGTACAGAACCAAAACTAAGTGACTCTGAGATTTCAATCCCCAATCTTCTCAACTGCCCACTAATTCCCTTATCGACACTCTCAAACACATAAATCTAATATCTCTTCCACCGACTATACACCGCGTATCAAGGAAGAAACCTCAATTTCCCACAAGTCCACACACAAAGCTCCACCGATCACGCGAATCGTTCTCTCACCTGCACACGCGAGTTCATCGTCCCGAAAGAAAAAAAAGAGTGAAAGACGAAGAAGGTGAGTGCGAACTAACCGTGAGTGCAAACGCTGACGTAACACCTTGCGTGATACATGCAGGCCCGCTCTCGCCATTCTTTCGTGACCGGATCGAAGCATCTGACCGTGTTGAAGTGCTGGTTACCGTCGAAGCCGCCGATCATGTAGATCAGATTGTTCAGGGTGCAGAGACCGTGGTAAGCCCTCGGTGTTGTATCCGTGCTCACTGATAGAAACCATCTGTCAGCTCTGGAGTTCACATTACACGAACCCTGTGTGAGTCTCGGGGCCTGATCACGACTTTCGCGAAATCAACACCGCGACACTCGATGTTACATATGTATAGAATGAATCGTTTATAGGAGGTTTAAATAGGAGAAACCGTGTCTGCGGTCGAAGGAAAGTTTCGAGCACCTTGTGTCGTAGGTCTCGACGAAATTCGTCGGAGAACCGGCACTCCAACCGCCGATCGCGAACAGGATCTCGTAGGGGATACGTGGCTTGGCCAGAGGGTTCTTCAGACCGATCTCGCCGCCTCCCTGCTTCGCTTGTTGCTCCTTTAGACACTGGTCAGCGGGAGCTAACACTTGTTGGCACAGCTTGAAAGTAGGAACCGGGGGGAAGAAAAAAGGGTGAGCGTGTAAGTTTTTTTGTTGGGAAGTGAAGAGGTATGTATAATTAGGTCATCTTGTAAATTCGTGCCGGAAGCGAAGAATGGGAATTTAACCCTTATGGGTACACCCTTTTGCAGATTATTTTCGCTGGAAATAGTTGATCTTACCGGTAAAAGATTGCTATTTCGCACATGTCCCAAGTTTAGAATTCTGTTGTCAGGAAACTAGTGAAATTGGACGATAAAATAGAGGACGATTGTGGCTGTTGACGTAAGGGTTAATGGAAATCCAGAGAAACTCTACAACGATGGGGCATAATGGTCTCGCCAAAACAAGAAAATAGAAAAAAAATTGGGCAATGAAAAGGCGTTTACGTTTTTCTTCTCAAATTGAAGGATTCGTTAAAGATATTGATCTAAATTGTAAAATTCGACGCGAACTTAGGGGACGATCTAATATATACTGGTTTTACCTCATAGGTGCGATAAAACGAGTCAAACTTAAGACCTAATCACTAAAGTTATTTCGAGAGCAAAAATCGCGGACAAACGTGTCTTCCTCAGAATTACTACACAAGATGAGTCACGGGAAACAGAACACCTGAATTATTTCTGTTAGGACATCAAAAAGGATAATTGAGGCAAGTACTACGATCGACGTTATCTCCAAGGTTTTTCAAGGACCACCGCATACTTTCGACTTCATTTTTCACCATTTCTTCCATCAAACAAATTATTTTCCCTCCTTCGTTTCACCCTTCGAAATCGTCTAAATTACGTATGAACATTTTCTGCCACATCCGTAGCTATAGAAGATAATTAGGCGACCTGTTTCACGAAGCAAAGTGCAAACAGCAAGCGTGTTAAACGGGAATAGAAAGAAAAAAGTTCCATTTCTGTTTGGCCGACGATCGATTGCAGCGAAGACACTCACTTCGTCGTTCTTGATGATCTTCCACGCCAGAACATTGTTCGCGAAGAAGTTGTAGCTCATCAAACCGTAGCGCACACATTTCAAGAGCCTAGGCAAATAGGCCCTCCTTTCTTCCGCGTTATACTCGAGCCAGGTTTTAACGGCCTCGAAAACTATTTCCTCGTTTTTAACGTTCAACTCGTCGTCACGTAGAATCGCCTCGAGTTCCTTGCTTGTCAGCTCTTTGAATTCCGAGCTCTCTTGCAGTATCCGCTTAAAGTGATGGCGAATGTATTTCCGGCCCTTCTTTTCCAGGTCGCGGCAGAAATAGTGCCGAGCGAATTTAAAGATGCCTAAGGGATGAAATTATCGCGAAATTATCGCGCCACCAGGAATCACGCGGTTTACGTTAATTACGCGTGGTAGTGTGTTCGGTAACGAGCATAAATTATTACCATAAAAATTTAATCATAGCGACACGGTTTAATTAACAGTAACAATCACTGTTACATAGAAATTAGAAAATTTAAGTTCCTCATCTTTTCAAATTAAAAATTCATTTTTCCAAAGTCACGAGAAAAGATCAAATAAGCGAGAGATACCGACGAAATGTGCGTAAAGAACGAACGTGAGGGAATCTCTCTTTAATAATTGCTCATTTCGAAGCAACGAACAAGATGAAAAATCTGTATTTTTACACAAGGTGTAAGAAATTTACCGGCAAACTTTTCGTTAAGCGTAACGATGCTTTACCTAGACAATTCTCCGGTCGAAGTTCCTCGAGCAAGAACTGACAGCAGAGCTGTACGACACCGAGGACCTCGAATTGATCGGCCAGTGGTAAAAGTTGCTCGACGTTTTCAGCGTGGACGTTGCAGGTGCCGGTGTAAGCGTAATCGAGGATCAAACTGAAAATTTCGCCGGGGACCGGATCGATCGCGACCTCCGTGATCTCTGTTTTCCCGCCTTTCAGGCTGTTGGTAAAAAGAGCCTTGAAGTACGGACTGACTGCAGACAGAATGGCACGATGCACTGGGATAACGTGGCCTCTGGCACATCTGATTGCACCGTCGCACAGCTGCTGGTTTGCTCTGAAATATCGACGTGTACCGATGTAGAGAAGAGTCTTCTCATTTTCGGTAGAAACGATGTAGATCTTAATTTGTCCGACGCGAATTGCCTCGTTTTCTTATTTTTAAGTAACTTTAACTTTGAACTCCCTCGTAACGTAATCTCACTCGTGGACACAAATTGGGATTAAGACACTCTAGAAGCAGGTTGCAGAGGTACTTATGCTACAATTTCATTTTAAGCCTCGATAAAGCTTTGCTTTGAATTTATAAGACAAGAGATTACGAGGTATAGTCTGCGGAAGTAATATAGCGAAGTTGTAAATCAAAGGTTAAGCGGCGATAGTAATTAATGCAGCAACACCCAGGGCTGTGTGCCGTTTTAAAATTTCAGTGAAATTATACGGTAGCCTTCATCTTTTCCTGCCCGATACCAATTTCCATATTGGCAAAAATGAAGCTGTTAAGGATTAAAACACACAATTTTTTCCCTTGCCTCTCCCTAATCTGCTGTTTCTTACAACCTCGGTATATCGTTTCTGTATATTCTACTACACGAATAAAGTACCATTTTCACCGACTACGCAATAAAAATCTATCGCCAGAAACTCACGACTAGACGAGGAATTTTTATGCAAATTTATATTTTTGGGAATATAGTAAAGAAAGTAGAACTTTGCTAGAAAATTATTTCACCTACCAGGTATTATAAAAAGCACTGTAATTTGTATATTTTTTCATATTACCTGCGTTCTGTGCAACGCTGTACCTTTAGATTTTCTGTGGATGCGGATTTTTATGCAAATTCATATTTTTATGAATATAATCAAAAATTACGAGTACTATATTTTGAGTTTATTCTGTCTACTTTAGTGCCTTCAAATTCTCCATAAATGCGCCAAAGTCCGCAATAAACCATGAAAATCTCAACGTTAACGTGCACAAATTCAAGAACAATCTAACACAGACACGTATATCCACTCCTAGCATTAAATCTGTCAATTTATGAATCAGTTCTACAAGCACACATCGAGCCAGACGTTCACGTTCGCGTAATTAAAACATCCTATCGCAGAGTACGACAGTGAGAGAGAGAGAGAGAGAAGGGAGAGAAGGAGGGAAGGGATTCAGGATGACAGACCTAAGCTCCGACCAGACCACGGGGAATTCAACGAGGGCGTAATTGGACGGCAGGCACATGCATTTCCTGACTTTGGCCGGTTGCTTTCTGACGCAGTGCTTTAGCTTGCCGGAGGAAACGGCGGCCGCGACATTCGGCTGCGTGACAACTTTCGAAACTTGATCCTGCCGCGGCCGTCTATCGCCTCGCGGTCGAGCCACGCGATCCCCGCGTCGCTGGACACCGTGTGCCCCGACCTTTCCACCGCGTTCCGCGACACGTTCCTCCTCTTCTTCTTCGTCCTCCGCTCCGTATTCGTTATGGTTAGCGATGCGAGCCCCGACACTCCGGAGAGTCGCGGCCATGACAGAGGAACGCCGAGACTTTCAACTGACGGTACGCGCGATCGAGGTCGACGAGGATCCTCGATTCTCGGCGAGATTCCGACCGATAGTATGGGAATTAATTGGAGATAAGAGAGAAGAAGGTGTGAAGGAATATTACGAGGTTGGAAAAAGGTGATTTTCTTAGTGAACTCTAGTTTGTGTGTCCTCATACATGGTCTATATTCCTATATTTTTATTAGAAATTTTTGTTACTTTTTGGGGGGATCGTCGCGTTTGTAGCGGAGATTAATTTTTGTGCGGATAGTCAAGTGGGATTTACGTGTCCCACTGGCCGCGAAAGGATTAAAGGATTACGTCTATTTGAGAAGGTCAAAAAAGTGGATTTGTTTAAATACTCAATGTTCGTGATTTGCGAACTTCGCGACGCGATGCTTGAGTTGACCGGTGCGCAAAGAATTCACGAAACTGCTCTCGCGGCAAACTAATGGTACGAGTGCTGTTTAAATTTGTAGATGAGACTGTGGTGGATGAAAAAGAGAATATATGGTTTGCACGATCGACAAATACTGGCTGATTGGTGGTGACTATTACTTTTTATTTTTCGTGATGTCTCAATGGTGGGAGTATCGGTTGATTGGTGTTTGGGCCGTGTGGTAGGATTTGTCTGGTGGAGTCGAAGTGGGGAAATTGTTGCTAAAATAGTTATATTAGGGGATGGGAAAATCCTGAGGTCGGAAGGTGCTTTATGAGTGTGGTGCATGTGGTGTCCAGATGTAGGGTATTCGACTTTCGAAGGTAATAAAACAATTTGCTGATGGCGAGGAGAGAGAGCAATTTTACGGAAAATATACTATTGGTGAATATGGTAGGGCTCCATTGTTCGAGTCCTCGGTACGGTCGAACACTCAACATACAGTACACGTGTGTCTCATTGGTTAAGAAAGGGTTAAAGAATTACGTCTATCTAGGAAGGTGAAAAAAGTGGATTTGTTTAAATACTCAACATATAATACACACATCTCTCACTGGTCACGAAAGGATTAAAGGATTGTGTTTATTTAGAAAGGTCAGGAAAGTGGATTTGTCTGAATACTCAACATATAATACGCATATCTCTCACGGGTCGTGAAAGGGTTAATGAATTGTTTTATTTAGAAAGGTTAGAGAAAATGTCTTTTTAAAATTTTTCTCTATTAGTTCGAAGTTGGGTCATTTGTGACCGGTATTATATGTGTAGGAGATTCATTAGGCGTACAGTTTGTCCACCTGGAATATTTCTCATATTTCCAATAATATGGAAAAACGTTACGTGTACAAATATAACACTTGCTGCAATTTAATTAGTCTGTAAATAATGATTCAAACGAATATTGTAACAATGAATTTCCCCTTGCTGAGGTATTTGCACGAGTTCCCTCCGACATCCTTCCCACCCGAAAATTAAAAAGCCAGTATGAAAACACCAGCTACAACCCCAAACGCTTAATCAACCCCTTGCAATCACACGCAGCGCACCCCAAACGAGAGGCGTAGCGGACGAATACAAAACAGTACCTCTCAAAACGTCGATCTTCCGTCTTTATTTTATAGAATAACAATTCGAGGCATTGATAGAGTACCAAGTGGAGAACGAGGAAGAGAACGATGCAACTTAATCTTCGCTACGATAATTCGATCTGAACTTAATTGGGAGATGCAAGGTTGTGCACTTATATTTTTCTATACCTTTCAATAATCTTTCTAAGAGACGATTCGAGTTCGCGCGTATTAATATAAGTACGCAAATCAACGATTTTATTCAAAATTAAGCTACTCGATCATACCTCGCCTGTCGCAATATTGCAATAGAATTTTTAATATTTATCCTGGTAAAATGCACAAGTGAAAAAATCCTCGTTTCAACGTTACACTCAAAAATCATAAAAACGCTGTCTACTTGCCACTAAAACAAAATTAACTCACTATCTTTTCCCAACAAACCAACTCCTACCCCTCTCGAAATAAACATTCCTAACATTAAAGACAGAAACAAAAAACCAACCCACGACCTCAATTCTCCTTCTCAACAATAAATCCCACCCCAATCACCCATCACCTACCCCACGAAAAGAAACAACGATCCAATCCACCCTAACCTTCTAACCCAACCACCGTACACTCCACCTAAACCCAACACCCAAAATCCATCACCCCATCTTCCCACCCAAACAATCCTTTCCAAACACCGAACAAAAGAAACACGCTAATTCCTCGATCTCCGAATCGTCGATCACACGGCCGAGGTAGGGCGGGGTCGATCGAAAGCGTGTCCAGCGGTATCGGGGCCACGAAACAAAAAGCCATGGCCGAAGGTTAAGGGCTGCGAGGGCGAGGAGGGCTGACGCATGCACGCGTGCCTCCGCCACACACGCAGAGCAGAGCCAGCCAGGCAGGAAGAGAGCGAGAGATAGCGCAGAGGCGTGCGTACGCGCGTCCACGTAAATGTCACGTGGTACAGGGCCGCCGCCAATCAATATCGAGCCACCGTGGGGTGTGTGCGTTCACTGGGAGGCAGTGAAAGACGGCGAAGCACGGCGAGCCAGTGCGTTCGCGGCCGTCAACCACACCTTGTCGGGGAAGCCAGCTCGCGAGAGACACGCGCCGGTGCACGCACACACACACACACACGCACGCATACGTATACACGGACACGTTGAAGCGCGCACCCCGTCGCCATAGTTCGACCGGTCGTTTCGCTTTCGACGCGGTCTGCCTGTTGCGGGACGCCTGATTCGCCGAGGGAAGGACTCCAAGTGCAAGGTACGACGGAGCTGAGTGCAGGGTCTTTTTTTCGAGAAGAGGAGGAAAGGGAAGGACGCAGGTGGACGAGGGGAGATTTTAGAGACAGTTTTGGTAGAGCGGGATGTTGTAGCGTTGAGCTGACGCAGGTTGGAGAACTTGTTGGTAGTTTGGTGGATTCGAGGGTGAAAAATGGCACTAATGGGTTTTGTTGAAATTCCTAGGCGTGTAATTTTTAGTATTTCTGCGTTCCAGGGAAGGGTTTTGTGTGAGGAGGTTTTAGCGTCAGGTCTTGGGGTTCGAGGGTTGAAAAATGGCACTAGGGAATGCGTTTTACTGGAAATGTTTAGCCACGAGTAATTTGTACGATGTATTTCTATGTTTGAAGTGGAGGAAGGGTTAGTATGATCATTTGTTTGCGGTTTCAGGGTTAAAAAATGGCACCAGGAAATGCATTTCATTGAAATTCTTAGTCACGAGTAATCTGTATTATTTCTACGTTTTTCAGTGCTAGCTTTTGTGGCTTTGGAGTTAAAAAATGGCACTAGGGAATGCATTTCACTGGAAATTCTTACTCGGGAGTAAGTTTTACCGTTTCTATGTTCGAAGCAGAGAAAGGTTTAGTATAATGCACTTTTACTGCTAGCTTTTGTGCCTTCGGGGTTAAAAAATGGCACTACGGAATGCGTTTCGCTGGAAATCTTCTCGTGAGTAATTTCTATTATTAGGAAGTTTGAAGTGGAGGACGGAGCTTGGAGGAAGTCGTAGTACGACGAGCTTCAAGTGTTAAGTTTCGTGGCTTCGGGGTTAAAAAAATGGCACAACAGAACGTATTTTACTGGAAATCTCGTCGCGAGTAGTTTCTATTATTAGGATGTTCGAAGCGGAGGATGGAGTTTGGTTTACAAGAGTAGTTTGCATTGCTGAGTTTTGAATACGGAAGTAGAATGAATTTATATAGCCTCATTTTACTGCCTAGGGGTTTAAAAATGACAGAAGAGGCATTTTTTCAAATGCCTCGTTGAAGTGATTTTACACTCCTGAATGTTCACGAATGAATTTTAAAGAACGTCGTATCGCGGTTTTGTTTATTATCAAAAATTCCTGTTGCAAAGCTTCGAGTAATAGAAGTAGGGGATGAATTTTGCGGAACCTCTCACTATGATTTACTCGTACTACTGAATTTTCTTTCGTGGTTTTTGTCAGAGGAATATTTCGTTCGTGACAAAGTAGCAAAACTGGTATATACTTGGTTCAAACACTATTTGCATATATTGTTTCCTCGGAACAGAGGAAAATCCTTTTCCCCCGTGAAAATGGTAATTTTTTGTGTATTTTTGATGGTTATTCGAAGGCGTGAAATCTGAAGTATGAGATTTCTCGAGTGGAACGTAAGTGCTATGTTTAGGAAGCGAGGTTTTTAGAATGAGCGTGTATCTTGAAGAGGATAAACAGAGATTATGGGGGTGGTTCCACTTACGAGCAAATGTCGAGCAGACATTCGGAAAAATCATTCGCAAAAAAGTTCACAATGGAAGCTTCAATGGTTCTGGCGAAGTGTATTTAAACCAAATTGAAGCATTGCTCTAAAAAAATAATTGCTTCCAAAAATTTTCGCTTCGTAAATTATTCTCGCGAATTGACAATTTTGTTTTTAAAAAATTAGACACTGTACTATCTGCGTTATTTAAATCCGTACCTTCGATGAATATAATTTTCATCCTTTTATCTTATCTCTACTTCTCTACATTATGCTGTTATATTACAGAAGAGAGCTTTTCAAATATTCAATTTATCACACTACGTCGAATGCAACTTATGGTTTACCAAAGCAAACATCCTCCTATTCCTTATCGCTTCATAAACACACTTTGCCCAATCAATTCTTCCTATTTCCTGCAACGGTTAAATCACCCCTGAAACTAAATCCAAACTTCCCTCAATCATGACCACCGATACAAACACCAAACCAACGCAAAAGACGGGGAAACAAAAGCCAAGAAGGGACTTCAACCCTTTGCGGTCTTATTATCGAGTCTGACGCGACAGAAAATTTTGCCTTCGGATATCGTACGGTTAAAAACTGAATATTTTAGAATTAATGTCAGGGTGAAATTTTGAAATAAAGGCCTTCAGATGTACAATGATAAATCCTAAATTATAAACGCTAATAAATTATTCTTTCGTGCATCAATATTACTCCGAGACTTACTATTTTGTAACTGATATCACGCTGAAATTTTGAAACAAAGCCTTTCAGATATACCATTCCATTTTTTCATGGAACTTACTATTTTCAAACTACTACTATAAACAACGCTGAAATACTGAAACAGAGGCAAACTACAGTGACCAAACGAGTGCAGCCTAACTGTACTCCATTCGGACCGAGAAAAGGGTTAACCCGCCACACTGTCATTCACACCTGAACCCCGGCAAAAGCGAAATTCCACAGACACATCTCTTCCCCTATCGCGCAAACGTTGAAATTCCAACGTGATAGGCGCACTCGAAGAATTCAAGAATATTCAAAGCTACTTTCTCGAAGCCACTCGATGGCCGCGGGGCTGGCTTCTTTATGGCTCTCCTGCAGACGTGGCTCTCTACGTCGGGGATTTTTTTCACAGGACTGCTCGACTTTCACGGAAAGAGGGAAAAAGGGAGGAGGGTGTGTGTACGTGAGTGTGGGGGTGGGAACTCGAGGCTTAATGGTGGTCGAGTGTTTTCGAGGAGGAACGTAGGTGGAAGTGGAGAGGTGCGTGCCAGCTAGAAGCAGCAGCAGAGGCAGCAACTCTGTCGGCGTTTCCTCGAGCCGGCTCTATCGAGCGATCGAGGCGTCGTGAATTTTTTAGATCGGCCCTTTTTGATGCTCACCGTGCGAAACGTGTCCGCCGGTTTATCTACGGCTGCCAGACACACTGACTGCCAGAGACAGTGTCACGCTGGCTGCAATATTAAACGAAGCTGCGTGATGCTGTTTCGTTCTGGCGAGAGGGTGATTCAGACAGCGGGGCGTTTGAAATCCACCACTACACCCGACCGCGTCAAATCCTCTTCCTCGACGCTGTCCTGTCTGCTCTCTCTCTCTCTTTCTGTTTAGAGCTGCGGGTATCTTTTGCTCCGCGTGTTTATGCTGTTTCTCAGTGTTGCGTTCTCGCGTTGCATCGAGCGACGTGGAAATTTTGAGGGAATGCGGTGAATTTTTTATTTCATCGACTGAGATCGTGGTAAACGTGAGGAAATTCTGTATTTCTCGATAGGCTGCGTGTTTGTGTCGTTTCTTCTTTGGTTTTTGTGTCCTCGCGTTGCATCGAGCGACGTGGAAATTTTGAGGGAATGCGGTGAATTTTTTTATTTCATCGACTGAGATCGTAATGAAACTTTGTGCGTTTATGCCATTTTTATTTTTTGGTCTTTGCGTTTCCGCGTTGCATTGAGTTACGTGTGAATCTTGAGGGAATGTGACGACGTGAGAGAGTTTCTTCTTTTATTACGAGATTTACATACGTCACATCTACTGTTAGATCATTAGAGAGAAATTTTCTTCAGCTAGTAGTTTCTGTTTAGGCGTTTTCTAATCTGCACTGAGAGTGAGTGCACTGATTAGCTGAAATTTCGGGCGTATTTTCAAATAGACATTTCCTCTACACTTGTTTAAACGTATTTACGAGCTTTCTTCTTGCATTCAACGTGTATTTAACTTGTCCCGCACTTCTTCTTGCATTCGTGCAGTTTTTCAGAGTTCACGTACGAATGGTATTGATGATCGTTCGTGTTTCGTGGTCGTGATAGGCCCCGCCATGCTAGAATGCCAATTAACAGAACGCATTTCCATTATGTAAATTACGTGAAAAAGATCAAATCTATGATTCGTGGAAGAACTCTGAACAAATGCATTTTACCTATACCAAGATACATACAGTGGAGGACAAAAGTATTCATACACTGTATAAAATGGAATAACTTTTTTAAAATTGGGCCAAACGACTTGAATTTTGTTTGAGAAGTTGGAAAGATTAGTTTACTAGATGACGTGCAAAAGAATTTTTGAAAAAACTGCAATTAGTCAGAGCAAGAAAATAGCGAAGGTCGTTTTTACAACTTTTTTACCTGAGCTTGTAACGAAAATTTAAAACATACGTCTTGTAGATTTATGTCAATTATACACATGCTGAAAATTTCATCGAAATCGGTAGACTCTCCGTCTACAAGCGACAGGCATCGAAAGATGTAAGAATCTGCAGATTTATTACAGTTCCAGGCTGAAAGTCGTGAAATAGTGCGATTTTCACAATCTTTAACCGTTTGTAGCTCATAGCAACGTTAACCGATTTCGATGAAATTTTCAGCGTGTGTATAATTAACATAGATCTACAAAACGTATTTTTTACATTTTCATTACGTGCTCAGATAAAAAAGTTCGCTATTTTCTTCGCGATTCCGACTAATTGCAGTTTTCTCAAAAATTTTTTCACACGTCATCTAGTAAACTAATCTTTCTAACTTCTCAAAAAAACTCAAGTCGTTTGGCACAATTTTAAAAAAGTTATTCCATTTTATACGGTGTATGAATACTTTTGTCCTCCACTGTATGTACATATATCAAAATCAGGATCAACTTATCGCTATCATATTCATCTTCCATCATCCTCGACACGTAGAAATGACATAATTCAAAAATTAAACACCAACTACCACAAACCCGTTAAATTAATTATCATTGCAATCGTCGTTAAATATCGTTTAATTAATTATTCCTATTGTAAACGAAGTATAATCATCTTTCACTGTATCCTTTGACAACGAACAACCGGTGCAACGTGAATCTCGAAATTTACGAATCTCTCGCTCGTATTAGCTTCGTTTCGCATGAAAAATACAGAAGCTCGTTCCCGATGACGTGGTTTCTCATGCAAGACAGCCGCTAGACGTAGCACGACGGGGGTCTAGCGTCGAGGCGTGTGGTAAAACGACGCGTCCCGAGCGGAATCACTGAGTCACGCCGCTTTATTTCCGAAAGAGCATCACCATCGGACGCTGGCAAGTCGGGTATACATATACAAAATGGTTCGAACGAGACGGTGAAATTCGATTTGGCACATGTGACCGATCACACGTCGCAGCAGACCGGAAGTCGTTTGCACGCGGTTCTACGAGCGGTTTCCAAAGGAGAACTGAATCGCCGGAACGGTTTAACCCTTACTACGTAAACGTGGGTCGATTATTTTTTACTCCTTTTAAAGAAACATTCTTGGATAGTGGAATCTTATTTGGAATGTTTAAAGAAGTTACAGAGTTTTTAGAGACTTTTAGTCGTTGAAGAACTCGTTGGATCAAATGTCCCACGTTTATGGTTAATCTCTGTTTCGAATTTATTTAGTATTACTGGGAATAATAGGCATTCGGTGTTTCATTTTCTAAGAAAACAAGCACCGCGAGTTAATTGATAAAAGAATTATTATTAAATGATTCAAGCTTTCATAATAGACAGGACTTTTAAATGAAATATTTGACTTTAGTCAGCTTCTTTGGTTGAGATATTACTAAATAAAATTGTTCACTTTTGGTCAGTTTTTTGGAATTATAGTAAGAACTGAAGTGTATCAAAGTTTCTCTACGTTCGATGAGTACAGTACGATTGCAGAATATTCTTAAACGATATCTTCGACGTGTTAGAAAATTCGTAAAATGTGTCGAACCTTTCCGCACAGAAGTGAACAAACGAAAAATTCACAGAGCAATATTTCTTTCGATTACAGACGGGAAATTGACGAGGGAGTAAGGAAGATGGACGTAAAAGGGCGAGTTGCCCTGGTGACGGGCGCCGCTTCCGGTATTGGTAGATCGTGTGCCATGCAATTATTGAAAGAAGGTGCGAAGGTAAGTTTCCCAGGCGAACGATCTCAAGTTACTTTAAAATTAATTAAAAAGTAAAACGTTCCTCTCTTAAACTTTCTGTATTTTTGCTTCAACTTTTCAGCCACTCCAAGCGAAAGATATGTTTTTTAATTTTTCTCATCTGTCCCTTTAAACGTGTTAAATTATAGAGAAAAAAGTGTGTCGAATCTAGGAGCGAAAGTATGGAGAAAAGGACGTTATACTTTTGGACGAAGACGGTGTAAGAGAGCCAATGAAATCTTTAGAGCGTTATTTTCATTAGGGAAAGTGGTGTTGCTACACGGGTTTACCCTACAACCACGTACCAACTATAAAAATGCGGCATTAATAGGGTATTAAGGAGAGACTCTCGTAGTTATATTTCGCGAAACCTCCTTAAGGATATAACCTTGACTTAGTATATCGCTCCATGAATTCAACGCCTCGTGCCTCGAAAATATCTCGCTTATTTTTAGATCGCTCCCTAACGGAGAAGTTTTATCTTCCTCTCTGACCGAATTCTACCGAACAATAATTCCGTATTAACGACTCTAACCAGTCGTTTCTAACGAATTGCTCGTGAAAGAAATTGCACACGAAATATCGAAGAATGTGGTCGACAAGTGTGACAAAAGACATTTTTCAAAATTTACCAAAAAATGGAGAACTGACTTTATGTTAAAGAGGAACTGAATCAATCCTGAAAGTTCTATTGAGAAACACTCGCGAGCAATTGTAAAGGGCTCAATGGCGCGATAAAAAAAATTCAACAAAATTTCATTTACAGGTGTCCATATGCGACATTGTCCCGGCGGAAGGCAAAAAACTGGTGGAAAGTTTGGCCACGGTTTACGGAAAGGATCGTGTAATTTTCTGCACCTGTGACGTCACAGATTATTCACAATTCTTGGGTAAGAACGTTGCGACGATTACCCACGATTACCGATACGATAGTTAAATAAGAAACGTACAATTCGCAGATACGTTTCGAAAAACAGCTGCAACGTTTGGAGAAATCGATATCGTTATCAACAACGCTGGGGTCATGAACGATCGGTTTTGGGAGTTAGAAATCGATATGAACGTTGTAAGTATTTATCTTTTTCCCTCCTTCTTCTCCCCCGAATTTTCTGCTTTTATCCCGTACGCGTTAAAGCACCGAGGTCTTTGAAATTATTGCAGAATGGCGTGATCCGTGGAACTTTGCTCGCCCAGCAATTTATGGGGACGAACAGGGGTGCTCAGGGTGGAATAGTGGTTAATATTGGAAGCAACGTCAGCATGAACCCCTATATAAGTGTTCCAATTTACTCCGCCACCAAGGCGGCAATCGTAAGCTTCACCAGAGCGTTTGGGGTAAATAAGTTTGTAAAAAAATTCATTTCCTTCGTGTATCTTCGGATGTACTTCCCCTTGAACCCTTTCGTGGCCGAATTGCCTCTTTCAACAATCTCTCGTTCGTTTAGTTGCAATTACCGTTACAAATTCTCACTTTTCGAACCAACAAAGTTGAAAGAAGAAAGAACATTCGTGGAGAATTTGTTAACTACTGTGCGTGTACTTGTTCCATTTTACAATTGGTCTTTGAAGCATATTAAGGTACGATACCTTTACAAAAATTATTATCAACAGGTACGAGTTTCAATTTAACCCTTTCGTCGCTGAATTACATTTTTTAAGAATTTCATATTCGCTCGCTGATTATAGCGTTAGCGATGGGTACTAAATCGGGACGAATGTTTGCTCGAGTATTTGAGTGGAGTGTATAATGTTCCAGTGGTCACCAAAGGGTTGAGATTTCCCTTTTCGGACAGATGTTAATTTATGAAATTATTATTCGTCGGATTTTATTGTCTATTTTTCTAATTGACTGTAGCACCAATACCATGTGGATTTAACCGGCGTGGAGGTGATGGCATTGTGCCCAGTTGCGGATGGCAAATCGATATCAGACGTCAGTAAAAAGCTGCTGTGTACTCAATTCCAAGAAGCATGGCGTCGTGATGTTGAAGGTTCGGCTGCTCCAAGGTAACCATGATATTTCGAATAATTATCTAAATTATCGAACATTTATTTCCGAATTAATTTTGCAATTTTTGTATATCTTAGAATTTTCGTTCGACACAAATCTTTTTGCACTTTCAACGATCGTCTGTTTGAGCATTTTATTGTAGGGCAAACTTTCTTTCGTTTTATGTTATTCTGTCGATTGATATTTTTGTACTCTTTGAAATTAATTATAAATGTACGTCACAGTTTTATAAATACGCTTATAATCGATACGATATTCGGTCCTTCGAGCTTACTCGACGCCAGTCACGTTATACTACTCTTCCGTTTATGTTTTTCATCGGCAAAAGTAATAATTATGCCTTGATTATACGATTGAAGCAAAAGGAACATTTTTCGGTCATTTTTATTAAACTTGCAAATAGCAAACACTGTGCACTACTAAAACATTGCTTAAAATTGAGTAAAACATGTGACACATATTACAATCAAAATTCTAAATCTAATTCTAACAAAAGTGTAACTCTGAACACCGAGGACAATAATTAAAACACTGAACAGCTAACCCTATGATTGTTCATTAAAAATCGAAGGATAACAGGTTAAAAGCAATCTCCAAATTTTTACAAATTATCCAAAAAAAAAGAGTCTGTCACTTTCAACAAAAATAACAAATTCTTCAATAAAGAGTACGTCCTATTTAAATACACATAAAATAAGGACCTCCGATTAAACCCCTGCACAGCTAAATGCACGATTTTCTTATCAAAAGAAACAACTAAAAAAATCATACGATAACAGGTTAAAAGCGATCTCCAAACGAGTCTGTCCATCGGTAACAAAGATAACAAATCTCCCAATACCAGAGCACGTAATATTTAAATACACACGAAACAAGGACTTCCAATTAAACCAACCCGTTTCTTGCCAAAAGAAACGACTAAAAACTGACACGACAATAACTAAATAATCTGAAAACAAGATTACCTATCCACCTGTAACAAGAGCAACAAATTTTTCAGTCCAGACCACGTAGCAGAGGCGTTGATCCACATCCTGAACATCGGCAAAAGCGGAAGCGTGTGGATGGTGGAGGACGACCAGCCTCCTCACGAGATCACATTCCCCAAAAACTAGAATCCTAACCGCCACGATTCACGTGGATCCTTCCTCGCTTGAATACAGATAACTGTGCCGTACCATAATTCGCGAAACCGTACCGAGATTGTAATTCAGAACCGAAGGGAAGATCGCGCTCTCTCGATCATCGCAACCCGAAATAACACCTTGACGAGAGGAAACAAAGGAATGGACAAATTCTTTCCGAATGGACTTCTCCAAATGGAAATTCTGTTAAAAGCAAAAGAAGAAGATGAAGATCGACGGATCTGAATCTGCAGAGCGAAACGACGCGGGATCAAGAAAGCGCGGATCGTTTTAGATTTTAAGGGAGGATCAGCCGCATTACCAAAGATTACGGAAAACAGTTTCTAGAACGGGAGAATACTTCTTTTTATTTCTACCTTGTTACATTATCGTTCGTAATTACCTTTGCTTTCTTACAAAGCGATCGTTTGTTTTTTAACTCTTTGAATCAGAGAGAAACTTCACTGCTCGCCGTACCTTTTGTACCTTTCTCTGAAAAATTTGTGCAAATTGATCGAACGATTTTTGCGCGACGAGCTGTGTACGATGATCGAAAGAAGAGATAATTGTTGGTAAGGTTTAGTAAATTGAAAGTTAATTGAACGATTTTTCTCGACGAGGAGTTTAGTAACTGTGAAGACGAGTTAAGCAATGTTTCGATGGAAAATTGAATGCTGCATCGGAAAGTAATGGACGTTCTGAATTTTAATAACTGCCGTGCGTTCCCGTAAGACTTGATAAACTTTGTAAAATATACTTCCTTCGTAGTTTCTTCTATCTTTTTTAAACGTTCAATCGAAGACTTTGTCACATCGATTTGGTTAGATAGACGTTTACGCAACAACGGTTCGCAGTATATTTAACCGTTTGAATGCCACGGGTCTTTGTTCTTTCCCAATCCAAAAGTGCCAAGCGGCGCGATCGCGCTTCTTTCATTTGATGTCGAAAAATTACAGAAATTTTGTTTTGGACATTTTCCTGAATACGACTATTTGGAAATAACACGAAACAAAGGCAAAATTGATTATGTGCAATTTTTTATAAAAAGAATAGAATAAAATTTACACTTCGTGGCCCGATGCGGTGACACTTTTCGATGTCGAATATGAGGAGCGCGGCCGCGCTCCTTGCCACTCGAACGGTTAAGGAAGTGTATGGTGGATTTGTCACACCCTTTTTAAGCCCTTAATGCAAACATAGTACACTGATTAGGTATTATATTCCTGAAGAATTTAGTGTAAACCTCGTTCGATACGTTTCTCACGTTTAAATTAAGCAAGTATCCTATCTTCTAGAGAAAATCGAACGAGTCCTTTGATCTCTGAACTGAGAAAGTTCCCGAGTCGCGAATGCATCAAGTTCAACATGTACAAGTGTTTTTTAAGTCAGGCTTACACAGTATTGTAATAAGATACGAAAAAAAAAAAAAGAACAAAAATCATCCAAGCGAATAATTTATCCTTTTTTCTACGATGTGACACACATTTGTACCGCGATTTATACAGTAACACGTCGCATTTTTTATATAAGCAATCGTATATTTCGATATAGTATCAGCGAATATTAACAGAAATCGAAAGAAAAAGAAAGACTTCTCAGAATTTTTTCAATTTTGTACAATCGTTTCTACGCAATTTCGATTGTTTAGAGTGTGCGTAAAAATGCCTGCAAACACGTAACCCGCTCGTCTAGTTCGCTATTTTAACTAGAGACGAAAAGATATTCTAAAAATGAAGAATGACACGCAAAACAAGGGAAATTCATTCCATCCATAACAGAGAATTTTTCTACATTTGCGAGAGAAGAAAGCCACGAATCGATAATCGTAAGGAGTTTTCTCCGTTTGCAGCCACTTTATGCAAATTCTGAGAGACTAAGAGAACCAAACTGTAATTAAACGAGAGAAAAGAAGAAAACACCGCGAATTTACTGACAAAACAAACTTATCCAATTTTCTCACGTTTCGTCCATCCTTCAAACGAATATACACCACACAAGTTAAACAATCATTGAAACAACACACGAATCATCCGACGCGAGTGTGTACGTCCAATTAGGCACGTACAAACTTCCGGTTCGTTCGAAACCATCCAACGTAGGAAACGATTCGAAGGATGAAAATTCCACCGATCGAATCGAAGAGGAGACCGATAACGAGATCTGTCCAGGATCACAGGTACAATCCTGCGTATAATTTTTATACGAAGGTTTTTTAACTGATAAGGGAACACATCTCGACATAACGATCGTCAATTTTCGACGAAGCTTTCGTGTACGATCGTTCTCGAAAATCTATTCGAACACGTATTTTTACGACGCACAAGTAACAATTATTATACATTTTAATCGTCCATTCTTCGATCGAACGCCCCTTGATCTCTCGTTGCAGAACGATTATAATCGGTTTCGAATGAAGAAGTAGTCGTTCGAAATTATCGACAAACAACGATATTTGTCGCGGAGAAATTCGAGGGAAAGGAAAATTCTGGAAAGAACGTTTCCGCAAGGAATTAGATAATCTTGAATGAAAAGTTGAGCTTGGAACGATTATAACGGTCTTAGAAGAACATCGTACGATCTATTGTGGCAACAAGATGATCTACGGGACACGAAATCGAAGATCAATCGCACATTCGAATATAACATTGCGTAATCTTAATCGACGGCACGGTCGATAGTTAGTGGAAGTTGCTGGTTTATGTTATCATTTGCTCGGAATGTATGCTGCAAGCCTAACCAATAAATGCATAGCTTTTTTTACAAAACAAAAAAAAAACCGCAAAAGAAGGGAAAAAAGAGAGAGAAAATATGGACAGAAAAATTTCATCCTGAACAACGTAATTCCTTGAAACACCGTGGATTTTTTCTATCGATCGGCAGAAAAACGAAAGTCAACACGTGATTTTGACAGATAAGTTTGTTTATCCGTTCGGCTGAAACGTCAAAAATTCCCGTTTCAATATCAAACTCGCGTTATCAGTTTTCATTTTCTTTCTCCCTCCTTATCCTTTGCTTTCCTCTTTTTTTTCCAAGAGGATCTGTGATAGAAAGAATTCCAGAGAAATATTATAGTTTCGAGGTGACATGTTATCACGACGTGTAACCTCGTTCGTCTCCAACCTTCTCAATAAAAGTCCAAGGTAAGCTACCTGAACGTGATACTTTCCCTGGTAAATAATCGCGACTCCGCACGTCTTCGTCTTCTTGCTTTCCAAGTATTTCTCCTTAGATTTCCATTCGATCGATCGAAGGTTGAATTAGTTCTTTTGCCCCCGCAGAAGTCTGTGGAAAATGAAACGGTGTCGGTTTCACCGCGCTGACGTGATACGTGCGAGAAAGAAAAAGGATGAAGACGGACCGAAGATAGTAAAGCCTGGCAACTGGTGAACTTAGAAATACATCTATCGTTTTCGTGGAGATTCTTGATTAGAGATATATCCCGCGAGAGTGTAAAGACAAGCTGAGATAATTTTAGCATTTATTTTTCATGGAATACCAGCGTCGAGCTGCCTAAACCGATCCTCGAGGCTGCTTGTAAAAACGCTATAGTGATTGGAGGATCTGAGGGTTTCGGATTCACGGCAGCTGATCACCTTTTGTGCAACGGAGCACGCGTTAGTGTTTTTTCATAGGTCAACGATAAATAAATTTGGAAAAGTGGAAATTCACTGAAAACTGGAAACTTGGCAATATATTCTCTCCTGATTATGCTATCAGTGGAACGCTTAATTTCATTCTTTTGCATTCAGAACTTCGTTCGATTAGGTCCCTTTTAAAACTCGTTTAAATAAACGAAGGATTCTTGTTATAAAAATTTTTCTCTGATATTGAATTTGAAAAGGATTAATATACGAATCATCGTGCAGAATGTCGTTTTGCTGGACGAAGACGCTGTCGAGGGACAGAATGCAGCGAGGAAATTATGCGACGCTCATGGGAAAAATCGTTTGTTGTTTGTTCATTGTGACATAAGAACTGCTTGTCAATTCGAAGGTGGAAATTTGTCTTATTTTCCGTCTGATATTTTGAAGGATCGAAAGTGTTTATTAAGCGAGTTACGAATTCTTGTAGCTGGTCTGAGACAAGCTCTTTGCAAACTCAGAGTGATCCATATTCTCTTCAACGACCTCGATAAAGAAAGATTGCCATCGAGCTGCTCTTCTTCGAAAAAGATTGAAGTACACGATGACGATAATAGAAATTGACTCGTTTTTAGAAACGATCGAGATAAGGAGTTGATATAAAAATTTACAGAGAAACTTCACGGCTAAGACGATTCGGGCAGGACTGAAAATTTTGGGGAAAAATCACGGTGGTAGTGGTGGAATTATAATAAACTGCGCGAGCATTTTTGGCTTCATGGGATGGCCTGAAGCGCCGTTTCCGGTTTACTGTAGAAAGGAGGCGGCCATTGAAGTTACACAAGATTTTGCGGTATTTCAAATAAATTATAGGATAATTTTCAACAATGCTTTCTAATCAAATTTTCGTTCTATCGAAGGACGAACATGATATAGAAGAAACTGGTGTTCGTTTAGTGGCACTTTGCCCAACGGACAAACAATTCTGTGATATAGGATTGCCAGATAATCCGGACGAAATCCCAAATAGAATTAGGGGTAAAATGCCAGAGTGTATTCCGAAAGCGTAAGTGAATTTTTTGAAAATATTTATGAGAATAGTGATTAAACACAAGATGGAATATAAATTTAATAAAACCTTAGTCACCCTTTTCTGACTATTTCAGCGTTTCTTAGATTTAAAAATTAAAAATTTTACAAATTCTTAGATTTAAAAATTTTAGAAACTCTCAGATTTAAAAATCTAAAAATTCTCAGATACTCTAAGGAAATTTCTTTCATCTCCTGTCCGTTACATTATTCTTTTCCCTTAAATCTGTGTAAATCGTTGTTCTTTGTACAGCAAATGACACATTTTAAATATTATTCATTTAAATATTATTCATAAATTTAAATTCTACTAAGGTGTAGAGACACTTTTTTCACTGACAATGAGTGTATCTGCAGGAAGTATCACATAGGAACAGCTTTGGACTACGTACTAGCATGGGCGCAGAACGGAAGTGCATGGTTGGTGGAACCAGCAATAAGCGCTCATCAAATTCCCCGATTGATCCACTTTCCCGAAAATGAGGACGAAGAAATCGATCCTAAAGTTTACGAAACAGAAGTAAAATGAATTTATTAAATTTCTCGTTAAATCCTTATTAAACTTCGAACTTTTCAGCCTTGTACAGTGAACATAGAACCACCTTGCGCCGATACGTCTAAAGCGTGTTCAACGCCGACGAGAGAAAAGTGTGTAGCAAAAACTCCAAAGAAGAAATGACGATACATTAAACAAAAAAAAAAAAAGAAATTCATTTCTCATAGTCGTGCAAGTATGTATGTTCATTTGTTTGATCAGTTTATCTTCGACGAAGTTTAAACGATCTCTTTCGTTGCTGTAAGTAGATAAAAACATGTTTGAAGTACGACGAAACATTTTCCTCGGTACTGTAAAATCCTGTGTTAATATTTATGAAATTTATCAGTCTGAACTTTACACAAGCGTTGTAATAAAAAGTGAAATAACGTTGATTTAAGTTTGACACGTGTACACAATTATATAACTTCGATAAACTGCTATTTTTGGCAATTTGAAGAAACGCGAAATCGTAAGATTTTCGAAAAATCTTTGACGCTGCAAGTTTACTGTTTAAAAAAACAAAGTTGACTTTCAAATCTCCGAAACGCCTCCACCTATAAAAGAAATTAACGCACTACATAGTGTACCCTTTTAAACCATGTAACTTTTGTATACAACATTCTTTCGTGCAACGCATATTTTGGAAGTTATTGCTAGGTTTATCAATCAGTTAGATATAACAAAAATTAATCTAAGGCCTTACTAGTGTCGAATCCTCATCCCTTTGTCCCTCGACTCCCATACATACCGATCCTTTTCTCAGGTACAGTTTCGACAACTACCTGCGCGTTTTCCACTTTCCCACCGAATTCCTGTCCTATCTCCGGCAGATCCTCAAACTGATGCACTCTACCCATTTCTTTTGTACCGACTCCTTAAGTTCATTACCGAACCATTGTCCCTGCAATTCTTCTCCCGTACCATCGAACCCTCAATCCTAACGAGTCCTGATCATTATCCTTACACATTCCTGGTCCTTACCTAACGAACGCATTCCTAAATTCCCCCACCCGCAACTCCCAAAAACCCCAATATAAAAGCAGCCTCGAAAAAGGACGAGGGACAGTCAGCATTGCATAACAAGGAAGTTTAGACCTTACAGTTTATATCCGTAAAACCAACAGTGTAAAAAGAAACTTAATTACAAATAAAGATAATTCCTAAAATCCACCGTCTAAAGCGAATCGACGACACTAGGAAGTATATATTACTTTTGTATCCGTAGCCTTACCACCTCTGTTTAGTAAAGATCTAAATGTTTATGATACGTGACAAAAGGCCCTTCGGTCCCAAGCGGGGTCGTAGGCAATATACAGTGCCTCAGTCAGTAGACAGTGCTCTTACCATCAAGTAGAAAAGCGAAACTTCCTTGTGTCTAATAAAAGTTTATAGTTTAAAATAAGGATTATTAATTATTTAACAATCCATAACTCCCATAATCCAATAGTTTCTACGTTTAAACACACGTTGCGTGGACCACCCTGTATACATCCTAGTAAGGCTTTAGATTAATTTTTCTTATATCCAACTGACTGATAAATCTAACAAGTAGCACCGGATTTATCAAAAATCAGCATTTATGAAAAACACCAACCAGACCAAATATCAAAAGAGAAAATATTTTTTCAATCAATAATTTATTCGTTTAAAACTATTCCCGATCGTTCTAAATAATACTAAAAACGACGATAATTAATATCAAACATTATGTCACCTCACGGCAACACAAAACGGGCAACAAGTATACTTCTTCTACAATCAGATTGTCGTTAATTACTTTTCTGATAACGATCGTGACGCGACAATTACAATACGTTATCGCAATCCTGTTATCGTATTAAACAATTAAATACTTAATCTATTTTTCAAAGATAAAAATTCACTCCGTGATATGCTGTAAATTTGCATCACTCGTTCGTACTTGGCACACTATTAGAAAACGATGTCATTCTATTTTTACATTTGATTTTCACATGTCACTTCCATAGATTAAGGCTACCGAAAAGTAAGTAGAAACTTAACGTAGTATTTTTCAAGATACACTTGATAGACAAAGTATAGGTACATATCTACATTCGACAGATTTCTGTGCTTGCACTTGTTGAACTTTCGAGGGAAAAATTTTCCAACATGCTGCAAATAAAGCGAAATTATCGCGAAATTAATCAATTTCTGTATTATAATACGAAATTTAATGTTTCGCGCTCTGGGATGAGATAGCACATCCGTTGACCCATACCAATCGTATTCTGCCCTACGAGTGATTGTAAATTCACGTATATGTGCATAAATCTTCATTTCAGAGGCCGCCTTTTAAATCCACACACTTCGTTATTTCATACAGGTTTGGTCAATTAATTATCTTTTCCAGGTACGATTGTAGGAGAAAATTTTTATACAAAATTCAAACGATTTCAAAGAGTGGAAATTTGTTCACAAATGCCATATTTTTCTGTATACTGTTGTACAGAACTTTGTGCTTCATTTTTCCTTTACCAAACTCGAGAGTGAATCGTAAAATACATGGAACAGAATTTGAACGAATTAAGAATCGAATACTGCATTCGTCAATTTCCATACTTCACTTAGAAATCCTGGCTTACTCGAAATTTCCTGATAAATATTTAATCAGAGAACTTTTGAATAAAGAGAAGTCCCGTTGTAACTTGGATTAAACGGTGATATCTTATCGTTTATCGTGAAAAATATCGCATCGTTCACTAGCATATTGAATGCACATTTTGTTCTTAACAAGCATTCTTTTCGTTAATATTAATGTTAAACAATTTTCACTCGGTATAAAATTATTTAGCCTCGTTGTAACGACTAGACTGCAAATATTTACGCAGTTTATTTGTTATTTTTTGCATTGCAATATATAATAGTCTCACATTCTTAACTACAATTTGGTTTTGTTTCAAATAAATGAATAAGTTAAATTTGTTACAGATAAAACTGACATCCGGAGAAATATATGTAAAATATATCCGAAATAGTTAACATACTTATTTAACAGTCGAATACGTAAAACATGCAAACAATACTATCTGTTGTATTCCGCGGCTCGCGATTCCTTGCGTTGGTTTATTATATTCAATAGATACGCGGTAGGAGAGCCTGACGGAAACTGGGGCGAAATAAGGGAGCTATTCTGCGCGTAGTACTATTCGACTTTATTAGACAGTTCGGTGACGTTCGGTGCGTGAAGACCACTAGACAAAAATCTGCTGTTTCGACGGAAAAGGTTTCTAGATATAGGTTCGGTAAGTACGAGAATAGGGGTTGGTCTCAGAGGTCAATGTAGGGAGAGGCGGTAAGGTCTAGGTTCAGCGATGAGTAAAAGTAAAGGATGATGTGGAGATCTAGGTTTCGGGGTGACTAACGTTAGGATGATGCGGATTTGTTTACAGTTAAGGAAAGGGGGCAGGATGACTAAAAACTAATGAAAGATAGGAGAGAGGTATACGACATATCTATACTGTCTATTAACCCTCAGACGTCTTTTCGACATATTTAGGCTTTCACTCGACGTCTTTAACCCGCGTGTTATCTGAGATTCTTCAGTTTCCCGACACAGAGAAATCTTTTCGCCAATCTTGCAAATCTACTATACTGTCTATTAACCCTCAGACGTCTTTTCGACATATTTAGGCTTTCACTCGACGTCTTTAACCCGAGTGTTATCTGAGATTCTTCAGTTTCCCGACACAGAGAAATCTTTTCGCCAATCTTGCAAATCTACTCGACTGCGATTCGTTCAGTTGATAATGTGTCAACGTAATCACACATTTAACCCCTTCATTCGTGATTTTTCTAACGACTATGCGTGCCATTTATTATTCTAATACTGTGTGAAATGGGAAAAGCTAATGGACATCTTAATTATTTTCGTTATTAATAAACCTTTCGAAATTTCTTTGGTCACAAAGGATCTCCGAGGCGGTGACCTTAGATTTCTCCTATATCCTTTTTTTAAATAAGTTCTCAAGCTCACGTTTTATGTTTTTACGAATAATTACGGTCGTTGAAGTCGTCTCAATACCTGCTAGCTAATAAACAAAAAGAAACTATAGTGTTATACATAAAAAAATAGAACGCGGCCTTAAAAACTTATTTTAGAAAGAGACAGAAAAAATCTGAGGTCGTCAAGCCTGTGACAAAGAAATTTTGCTAAGTCCACTGATAACGAAAATAATTCAGATGATCCACCCTGTATAACTATTCACAATGAAATAATTCTCTAAAACTAGATTTACAATTAAAGTGAATAACTGCTTTTGTCACATCTTCGCCAAAATCTGTACCACGAGTCTGACTCGTTAAACAAAATGTACATAATTACTTACTCATCTCTTGTAATCTAACGAAAAATCTCCCCTACAAATAAGTAAATAAATAAAGTTTTCGATGATTTTCATAGAACGTCCTCACACGAAAGAAACGAACCCAAACGATATTCTCCGATCTGATCTACAGATCTTCGTTGAAAGCTGTACGTGACATTTTCCACACACACACACACACGCGCGCGTGCGCACTTCCTCTGCAAAGACGTTCCTCCGGTCGTTTCATCTTTCGTTCAAGGTGTAGGTAGAATCTCGGTTGGAGGTCTAAAACGTAGCACACGGTAACTCAATAAATCGACAGAAATAAACGACGGTGTCCGTGGGATACCGTGCCACCTCGTGCCAAATTTTTTTCCACCACCGGGGTAAATTCGATCCTGTTTACCCGCGAGATCCGTGGTCACGTTATACCCATCAGATATCCGCGAGATATTCAATCTCGTACGATTGATTCTCGATTTCTCGAGTTTCATCGGCGGCCGCGGACGACGTCGTGTGCCCCGTCTCCGGGATATATTCGCTTCGCGAGGTTTCGCGCGAGCACGCTGCGGAAATCGTCGTTTGTATCGAAGTTGTACCTGGAGCCTAAGTACACAGAGA